TATAAAAACAAAAAAATAATTTAAAAAAGACAAGAAAAAAATACTCCCTCTGTGTAACATCCAGGTCCTTATGCTGCCTCTCCCTTATCTCTGTCCAGCTGCTTCTGACAGCCTGTGTTCTGGGTTTTACATAATCAGATAAGGACCAGAATGTTTTCCCCAAATCACAGAGTTCAGATCACATCTCATCTGGCTACTCCATTCCATCTCCTCTCAGGCTGATAAAATCCACTCATGCAAGCTCCATTCACACACACGCACACACACAAAACATGGCTGTGTGTCACCAACTCACCAAGCGCTGAACACTCTGGCCAAGCCTGGTGTTAATCACTAAACAAAAAGCTCTTTAGAAAGCCCAGTTAGTTCTCAGAGGGGGGTGCATACAGGGCGGGGGGAGACTTGGACGATCTGACTAATGGCAGAAGGAGAATAAACATCTAATTTGGACAAAAGCAAGAAGAAAAAAAACACTGAAGACGGGACTGAAAGAAGCCTGGGGGAGAGTTCAGGGTGATCAAAAGACACGAAGACGAGATGAAAGATGCAAAAATGACAACAACAAAAAAAGCAGGGGGCTGCAATGAGATGCCTGGTTGGTTTCACCAAGTCATCCAAGTCACCGTGACAATGTCATGGAAACTTCAGAATGTTTCCAGACCCTGAGCGCTATAGCAACGACGTGGTGGCACACGGAGGCATGCTCTTTCCCCCGCTCCCTGCAGATTTTGTGAATACCAGTGAGATAAGCTGCTGTGCCACTGCTTTTATTTTGATGCCTTGAAGGCCACAACCTTCCGTGTAATCCAAATGAATGATGTAGCCAACTACAGTATCTGTGGGCACAGAGCAAAGTGTGCGTGGTCAATACAAAGTTGTAGAGGTAAAAGTCACAGCCAGTGTTGTAGTAGTGACTGGCAGGCTTGAATGGGCGTACAGTTCTCCCAGTTGAATTACCAGTACAAAAGAGCAACTGTTAGAAATGTCCAAAATGTCTTAACTATGGCTACAAAACTCCTAATAAAACATTCAGCAGTTGAACTCCATTTTCAAATTATGGGTGAATGTTAGACAAAATTCTGGATTTGGCTTTGGATACAAGTACTAACTGCAGTCCATTAAAATTCAGCAACTAGATCCTATTTCAGGCACAAACGTCATCACAGCAATGTTCTGGAGATTGTACATTCCTGGAGTCTGAATAAACCAAGATTTAAACCTTACTGTCTGTAGATGTGTGTGACCTGGGGCCCTCGATCTCACTGGGTCAAACAAACTAAACTCCTCGGTCACTTTTCCAAGATATTCCTCTGACAAACATTAAGGACATGATTAGAAAATTCCAACAGAAATTTAGAAAGGTGGGAACTATTTCTGGATAGGACGGCACCTCATCAACATTTATAAACCGATAAAGCTCACCGCTGTCCTTCAGGCCATTCTCCTCGATGGTCATCTGCTCGGCCAGCTCAGACAGCGACTCATCGATGGTGTGGCTTCCTCGTAGCGTTTGAGAGAGACGTCTCTTGAACCGCTTCATTTTCTCCAAGGAGCTCTCAGGAAGGGGAGGCCTGAGGACGGCAAAAAAAAAAAAGACCTGTGTGAGTTGTGGTTGTGACCCATGTAACACAATGATAAGAAGAGAAAGAGTTCTGATTACAGAAGAATGCCACCACTATCTGTGGTGCTGAAGCCAGCCTTGACAGTTCACTGACAACATCTACACTGTAAACTGTCTTTAATTTACAAGAACACACCTCATCTGCCTGCAGGCATGTTTCACAAGCCCACATAAAGAGCCAAACCAAAGACGTTGTTATATCACCAGCGACCTGACTGGTCAAACAATCACACACTCATCCACACTGTGATGCTAATTATGACTCAGCTCATTCCGGCACACTGCATTCCTTCTCCCGGGGAAACATGACAGGTCTGTGAGAGAATCTTACGGGTGAGTTCAGAATACAATCCCTGCTGCACCGGACTGTAAAAGCAAATCCTAAAACGGGGGATTTGCTATTTGCTACTGAATGGAGTAGGGATAGTCTGGGCCACAGGGTCCGCAGTTCACATTCCAGCTGCATTTACTGTGTGCATGAGACTGACAGGTTGTGAGAGATAGAGACTGTATATGTGTGAGAGAAGAAAAAAAAAATCTGTGAGATAATCTGTGTAAGGAGAGGAAACAGATTTCAAATCGAGACTGACTATAACTGAGAATGTCTGGCAGGAGCAGATTACAAGCAGCCGCTCCCTGAAACCTCAGTGACTGCAGATCTCGACATGTGTTCTGTAATGAGGACAACGAGTTAAGCCAGACAACACACAACCAGCACCAGGCCCTCAGGGCTTCCTGCCTGGTCAACTATTCCCTTGTGGCAGCCTTTTGTCTTCCACATAACCCGAATTCCATTCAGAGACGCATCAACCAGCACCGAACTTTAAAACTACTGCCTTTGGAAAACATGGTAAAGGCAGAGTATGGTTGAAAGGACCCTGACTCAAACTTCATGTTCCCCATATCATGGTGCACAAAACAAAACGGAGCACAAGCACAGCAGGGCACAAAGTTCAGAAACATTGTTGTTTCAAAATATGAAACATCACTTGCTTGGTCCAATCAGCAGTTCACAGTATGAAAAAGAGGAAAAACTGTAAATGGTCACATTTGAAAACAAAGACTGTCTATTTCTCCTGATAACTAACTCATTAACTGATTAAGGAATAATCACAACTGTTGCTGGCTACGGCAGTCAACCCAAACTGGCAAAATCAGATTTGATCTGAAACAAGTCAGAGCCAATGAAAAAGTTACAACACAACAGTGGCAGCCAGTCGACAAACAAAACTGATTTCAAACCTGGGTTTAAACCTGGGATGAGGAAGAGGCCATGCAGCTGCTTAGTCACCTTTATGTTTATGAGCTACAGAGACTGGTTAAACCAGGTTTTAATATGCACTGAGCCTGTCTCCATTCCCTCCACACAGCAGATAGCAGTTACCGTCTGCCTGAACTGGGCTTAAGGCCAAAGCAAACTGGGACAGTGCAAATATAAAACATTAAGCTGCAGATCAGGAGCAGTCAAACTGCAGGAGCAAACAGTCATACATTTACAGCCTCAGACAACAATTCATACCTACATTACCCACAACGCAGCTCACTCAACTGCTGAGGGTTGGAGATTCAGGTGCAATATGCCAGTAGCAGCTAATGTAGCCTTGAACCACTCACTCAGATGAGGAGCAGGGTACAGAAGTCTGGTAAGATCAGTCCTTTCTAACACCAGGGCAACAAGAGGACACAAATTTTCACCCGTATTTGAAGAACCATCCAAAATGGGATTGCCTCGTTGAGACGCTGTGATGCAACTAGTCTTCAAATGCATCCTTTGAAGGCTGCGTCCCCTGAACTGGGACAGCTTCTGTGTAAAATCAGTACTCACTACTTTCAAGTACAGCCTCACTTTTCCAATTCAGAATAGTCCAAATATATACTTTTAAATAATCTTGTTTTGTGCAGTTTTCATCTTACATGTATACATGCTTCAATTGTGCGCTCTTAGTCAAATATCAATCAATCTAATTATTCCTGGAACCAAAATGAGGCCAAACAACAGCTTCACAGTCATAACAGGTTCACATCAGTCAGTTCCACCTCATGACACAGTGCTAGCATGGACAAGCAGCCTGTCATCTCCTGAACATCTCACTGCATTAGCCACACTCCTGCTGCAGTCTTACACACAGCCTGCAACACAGAAAAGGCTCACTCATAACCCTGATGGAAAACTTTCCAACACTGCTGAAGGAGCCAACCAACCCGTCAAAACACTGGTGGTTTAGTGGTCTTCGTAAGAGTTATGACTATGAAAGTAATAAAAACTAGTAACTAATCAGTAATGAACAGCCCTAATTCTGATATTATTCAAGACAACACCAATGCTATATTAAGTTTACAATATACTGTTTGTGCAGTTAACTTCTCATCAGTTTCTATAGTATAATCCAGAATCCCCTCTTAATTCATAAATGTATATGACAGGGATTGAGGGGGCACATTAACATCTCATAAATAACTGGGATGTGAACTACTATCCAGCAGGTTCATGGGACAAAAAGAAATCTAACAGCAGCAGTAGAAAGGAGAAAGGGGGCTGTCTACCCATTTCCGCTGGCCCACGTCCCTGCTCTGGAATCGAGTGTGGCACTTTGGACATGATCCCTCTTCTGAGCCTTAGCTCTGCTCCCCTAAATAGGCTGGATCCACTGGGAGGTCGCCAGGGAGGGGAGGAATTGAGCACCACGCTGATTTGGGATTTGTTCCCAAGGCAACCCCACTGCTTTTTCCATGTTGAAAATGCAGCACAGGGCAAGAGTCTGCATATATGCTGATTTTCCAGTTCTATTCATTTCATACCCTATAGCAACCATGACCCCACCACCACTGCCACTGCTCCTGCAGCTCCCCTTCACATCTACATTTTTTTTTTACCCCCTAAACCAAGGCAACAAAAAAAAGAGGGTTCACACACTCACATCAATGAAATATTTCCTTTCATTTAGCCCAAACACAGGGCAGCAGTTTCAGCTATGCCTTCTCTGGTGTGCAATACTACACACAGGTGAGCTCACCTTAGGTTTTGACTACATACCCAAACTCCTCCTTTTCTGTCTATTGTTGAGCGCCATGTTCTTTACCATTATCCCCCCAAAACAGCCATTTATATCCACAATAACCTCAATCTCACCTCATTAACTGACACCAGCGGTATGCTAGACTGCATTTCCCACCTCTTCTTTTCCTGGCAGTGCAGCAAGCAGAACAACACAGGCGAGGGGGGAGGGGGGTTGAAGGATGCTGCAGTGGTGACAACAGACATATGCATCATATGGATTCTGTCCTTTTACTGCTGTATCAAGGAGCAAACATTACTGTGCCCACAGTAAACAGCGGACTTCTAAAAGTATAAGGCCAGAGATCCTGCTGTGAAAAGCCATAACCCCTTTTGGGAGCCCTGCAATGACAGACTAACCACCATCACTGCAGAAGTCTGTAATTGTCCCACTTCTGCTAGATGAACCAGTCACGCCACAGACACCATCCCTGCCACAGGGCGACTGCTGTCCGGGCCACACACAGAAACAAGAAAAGAAAGGTCACAGCCTCTCTGTGACCCCTCCAGGGTTCAGTGAACCACCTAATGTCACTGGCTGCAGGAGTACAGGAGTCCCAGAAAACCCGCCTGCTTCTGCTCCCCTGGCTGCTTCGCTCACAGAAGACAGCAGAGAACAAGTGTAACTGTTGGCATGATTCATGAGTGAGCTCAGCCTCCTTTTTCTAAAGAGCAGCCTTTTCTCATCCTGGCCAAGACAATGAGGACAAGAGTGAAGGAGATGGCTCCATTATGGGGGCCTTATATAAAGGCTGCATTGTGCACAGTAGAAAGTTTTTTTTTTTTTACGAAGAGCAAGAGCAGGAGGCAATGGTGGCTGCGTGGTGGTGAGCTGAGCTGAGCTGAGCAGTGCTGAGCATGACAACCAGGCAGGCATGTTCACCCCCACGCACTGCAGCAGGTGAGACCTTACAGCAGCAACGAGGTGTTTAAACTTCACCAAGGCCACGAACAAAAGGAGTTTCATCACATTCAACCTCTTCTCTGCTCTTATCCATGATCACCGACACACATTCTTTCCTCACCCTGCTGTCACCTTCGTCCATATGGTCAAGTGGTGCTGACAGACAGGTCGGTGCTGATGTGTGCGTGTGTGTGTGTGTGTGGAATAAAACATCCACATCAGTCAGAACCTGTGGTTGAAGAACGCCAGGCCAGACCAGTGACGCACGGCCACAGATCTCACAGTCAGTGAGATGCTACACTGGCTGATTAACATTGCTGCTATGGTTACAGCGGTTTGAGTGACAGGTCTGCTCTTAGCAGAGCTGTGTGGCCTCATGTCAGACGGTAGACAACTGGGTTCAATACTGCAGGTCAGTAGTTGCAGTTTAACAGTATGGATCTGTAAACCTCAGGACGAACTGGTGTTAATGGAGAACATCCTAAAAAACACAATGCATCAGGATCTGAGTGGCTTAGCACTTCAGCTAAACTATTTTTTGTAGGAAACCCTGCAGTCAAAAACAAAACAGAGAGCAACATTCTCGAAATTGTAGTAGCTGCAATCGACTGAATTTTTCAACACTACCAATAGCTGTATTATTTATGACACTGAACCACATTACTGTACGTTTTTAAAACAGTGCTAACACAAAAATTAGCCATTTTGACTATCAGCATCTGTATTAAAGATAAATGTAGGATACACATTGTCGTAAAAACTAATAAAAAGAATCACAATACAAAACTAATCTAAGCTCCCTTCATAAATATGTCACGAATAGTCAACGAATGACAGATATTAAACACCCCATTTAAATGGAAATGATGCATCTGGAACACCGCTTACACCTCTCATGATAGCGCAGTTTAAGAATGGGCTGAAATGTCAGATGACAGATAAGCCTCATTGATCCATCTGGGTTCACATTAGGTCACTCATATCAACAGACATGGTTTGATTTTACCTTGCAGGAAGCAGACTGGTGTTAGTCAATCCATTTTTGGGGAAAAAGTTCTAGTTGTCTGGTTGGAAAATGAAATGTTTTCCGACTGAACTATTTTACAGGTTGGATATACAGCTATGGTGATAGCTTTCATCTATTCTAAATAAAAGGCAGCGTGATTGTCACAGACTCTCGTCTTGCTCATTATGGAGATAACTGCCAAAGGATGGACTCGTCTGATTTAAGGTCCAGTCAAGTCACCTGGCATCTGCAGAGCATTAGACATCAGAGAGAGCGACAGTTAGCCACCCCCCTCCCTGTCCGTTTGCGCCACCCTCGCATCAGCAGCCCCAGCAGATCCTGACAGCCTTTCATGACAGTTAAAACAGAACAAGTCCAGGCTGCTAAATAACAGAGGGCAGATGCCAGGATTGGGTTATCAGAATATCAGTTACCATATCAAACTGCAAACACAAACAGCTTTCAGTTGCCTTTGTTGTAACTTCAGAAAGTCTGCTTGTCACGCTCAGCATGACTCAGGAACTTAAAGTAGTATCTTGATTATTTTCAGAACCAATTATTGTTCAGTTAATTATTTACCTTGTGAAATGGCGAAAGATACAGAAAAATCACAATCGGAGCCAAAATGTTTAGCTGATTAGCTGAAAAAAAATGTCAAACATTACTGAGTTCCAGCTTCTCAAGCAGGATTGACTGTCTTGTGATAGTAAGCCGATTATCTTTGGGTTTTGGGCAAAACTTTGGGGTTTAAGAAATTTTGATGGCATTTCAAATGAAAATAATTGTTAGCTGCAAGCCTAAACCCGTTGCTAATCCAAAATGTCGTCTTCAAACTGTCTTCAGAATTTGAAATAACTCACTTTACAAAGATATTAAACAGAAAAGAAAAAAAAATCAACATTGAGATTTGAAAAGCTACAACCAGCAAATGTTTGGACACCATTTGATTATTAGTACTGTTGCAGATTAATTTTCTGTTGACTAATCTACTATTCTTTTGAGCTGTTGTCTGTGCTTTTCCATTATATATGTATGCATGTGATGAAAAAACAAACATTGTGGAAAAACTTATTTCCATCATGCTCCTTGTTCATTCAAACAAGCCAGTGGTGAGAAACTCTCTAAGCTTTGAATTAAATGGAAAACTGATAATGTCATTAAGAAAGAAGCTAATGTTTATTTTTAGCCATGGTCTACTTTCTCTGTCCCTGATTAGAAAATCTTACTGAGCTGAGGCTGAGTGGGCCTGGGGGTGTCTATATTCAGCTAGTTAAAACCCAAACACATGGGTTTAATGTGCTCTTTATTAGACTACTTCAACACATCTCAAATATGCATATGGTTTGGATGTGTGTGTGTGTGTGTGTGTGTCTGCCTGCTTCCAAATAAAGATTGGACAAGTGTTCAGACAGCGCCTGGAAATCCTTCCAAGAGCAATGTGAAAAAAGGCCATATTTGTCTTCCACCTGTTTCAGACATTAATACAGCGGATGACGACCCAGACACATAGTTTAAGTTATTACTGCACAACTGATTTGTTGTTGGGAACACTGGACACCTACAGATTCAGACCGAAGACTTGCAAGCAGCAGCAGCAGTTGTGTTGTGGGCCGAGACTGCGTATGAGGAGCTGAGCTGCATGCCAGTGCCAGTGTTCTTGTGTTAAAGCAGCAGAGAAAGGAGAAAGAGTTTGTATACATGGCTATCTATAGACAAGAGCAGAGCCAGTGATATAGCAGCTGCTCCCCAGAGCGCAGTGACACGTTAACCTTCAGCCGGCTGTCTTGGCCTGTTGCTTAAACATGAGCTCTCACACACAGACAAGCTCGGAGAAAATGCACACTTGTATTAGCAAAAGACGGACAAGGAATTAAACTCACCCACAAAGCCTGTAAAGTTCAGTTTAACATCGTTCTGTGTGTGTGTGTAGAGTACAAGTCTCAACAAACACACATCCATTCATGTGTACGCTCACACGCAACACGTACACATACAAGAGCATCATCCGATCCGCACTGGGACTCGAGGGATCAGCGCCGGTTGTTTCACCGCGTTTCCGTGCCCCCTGCCACTACCCTTTCCAGGGCCTTCACCAAGGGAACGGCAAGACAAACCAACACACGGGCACACTGTCTCCTCACAGGTCCCTGGCATCCTGCAGGTACCAGGTTCAACACAAGGTCTTTTGGGCCCAAACCCGACACACCCTGTGAATCCCCGGAATATGACACCTCTGAGAGGAAACCCAGCACTGGCTGTGGACCTGAAACCTGCTCACAGGTATATGAGCGAAAGTGCTATGCCAGTTCTTTCATTCAGCCATCAGCAAAACAATATAAACTACAAACAGTGACAAGATGGACAGAACCTGTCAAAGCTGCCTCCAAATGTTTGCTGCTTTACTTATTTCTGATCAAAGGGTTTATTCAAATCATATCTTTGACATTATTTATGGAAAAGTTCTTGTGCAGCCGCTACTTAACATTTAATATGTGAGAAGTTTCTCTTGCTAAATGAAAAAAGGGCTCTTTAGAAGAACACTGATCTTCCTCAAAATAAGGTATAAAAAAGTAGTGCGCTGAGACTGTATCAACATAGTATCAAAAACAATGCGAGAGGCATAAACAGTGAGCGAGGAAAAATCTGACACCATCACTTGACTTTCAGCATAACTAAATGATATGAGCCTTACTGACAGCTGAAATGATGAACTAATAAGTTGATCAACAGAAAAGTAGGTTAACTGGTGACTCTAAATTGCCAGTAGGTGTGAGTATGAGAGGCTGTCTGTCTCTGGTTGTCAGCTTGTGACAAGAACGGTGACCTGTCCAGGGTGCATCCCACCTCTCGCTCAGTGTCAGCTGGGATTGGTTCCAGCCCTGTGACCCTCTGCAGGAAAAGCTGCCTAGATAATGGATGGATGTTTTGGAGAGGTGTGTATTCAACTTTGTCATTTTGAAGGAAGTCATTTGTGGCGCTGTTGAGTTGTACAGCATTACAACAGGCCTGTTGCAACGGAGATGTACCTAATAAACTGGCAATTTCATGTATGCACATGATTGGAAAAAAATCTTGGCGATGATGTCCATATCACCCTGTTCCAGTCAGGGTTTTTTAATATGTCCTGGAGCAGTAGACTTAGAATGGAGCCTTTAAAACATGTGACAATAAATATGTAAGCACATGGCTCCTGGGTGTTTTCACACCCAAATAAACTTCCTCATCAGTCTCCCATGAGAGCCCCCATAGCAATGTGTTCCAGGCCCACATCCTGCCAACTTCACACTCATCTCCTACAAACATATACACTCATACCACCTCAAAGGTTAAACCCCCACTGAGAAAAGACAAGTACAGGAATTCATGGAAAGCTGCGTCTTTAGGCGAATTTCCTAGACACTGCTGTGAGTCCTTCTCAGACCATTTCCCCTGCAGGCTCCTGTCCTGGCCTTCCTACAACAGCTAAAACGGCCTGAATCTCTTAATACTGACTGTGTGGGAGTCCAGAGACCGACACCGTTTGCAGCAGCTTCATTCACCTATAGCTAGCCAACGCTTTTGGAATGAGAAGACAGGTCATCGAAATGTGGGTCAGTGAATGTTTTGGTGGCAACTATGCAAGACGATACACGCAGAGCAAGCAGCCCTCCCTCCCTCACACAGTTCAGTGTCAGCCCACCAGCCGACTGTGAGCTGCTCGGAGTAGTATTTAACAATATGCTCAACTCGGTGCAGAAACAAAACCACCAAACTCGCTGAACTCATCATTCACGTACGCGTCACACGGCGCACCTCAATTTGTTTTAGTTAAATGCGGATATTCACCGGTGACTGGGACAAGCCGAATAGCTCACAACAAGCGGCTGTATTCACACCGAAGGCTGTGAAGTAAACACTGCTACATAGTTTAGCCTGTTCTGTATCAACGCAGGGTGGTGGGACTGTTTCGGTCGGCCTGGCTCAGACCGGTGGTTGTTTCACAGAAACTAACGAAAACCGAAAATGTTAACGACTCTCACCAGAAACGGTGAACGCTGTTCCGGCCAGAGTCCCCGACCTCGGAGCTTCTTCTCAGGCCGGATGCCGTCTTTCCTTCTGATCGTGAAAAAAAGCAGCGACTGCTCGTTCTTCTTTGTGGTTCTGCTGTGGTACTCGCTGCCTTCTGGTGTCCAATGTCGCTTATATCCTCGGGGTGGTGGTGTCCAGAAGCATTGCTTGTTTCTGGGTTTAAAGTTTCACTACTGGCGGGAAGTAAGAAGCGTTGTCGGTCGGACACACCGTAGCGGTGTAAAAGACGACGGTGACTACTGCTTAATCTGTGTCCTCTGCTTGCGTATGCCGTAAAGGATCCCTTGCCACCACCGCAGCCGAGTCACGTACATGTCAGCGAGGGGGACAGCGCCTCCTAACGGTGCCTGTTGGAAATGACACCGAGGTGGGCGGTGAAGCCGCACAGCAGCACCTGCTGGAGGAAATGCTGCAGTCCTAACATCTACAACAGTGACTGTACACTGAAAGTCAGCGATCTACAACCAAATACTGCATGTCACAAGAAACCAGTAGTCCTGCATACTGCACGCAATAGCACATCCATTGCCACATTTATCCTAATAAATGAATTAACAAGTAAGCACATCTGTAGGGGTTATTATAGTAATTAGTAATAAAGCAATTATTAGTGGATTTAAGAAATCTGAAAATTCAACATTTTTCAGCCTGTAATTTTATGTCATCTCATCATCATCATCATCATCATCTTTATTTACTCCCAGACTCTGAGTCTAAAAGAGCTTCTGTTGTGAGAGCGAGGCTCTAATACTGTTAGCAACATGAAATAGTCAAACAGCTTAGCCAACATATTATACTTATAATATCAAAAATGTAAAATTTCAAAACTGCAGTGCAGATAAAAATGGAGAGTTTTTATTTATTTAAAACATTTTCTGTAATATTCAAATGTGACAAAAACCCTTTATCTTCAGTCAATGTATTTATCTATATTGATCTTAATACTTTATTTAGTACACTTCACTTTTGCATGTAATTTAGCTTTTATTTGTAGTGTACTTCATTGTTTTTGTGATTTATATGAAGTGGCTGCTTCCTTTCCTTCCTTATTGTATATTCAGGACGTCTCACCATTTGATATGATATTCACGTGGTGCAAAGTGGACATTCTCACTTCACATATGCTCAAGTTTTTCCTCCACTTTTCTTTCACCTCCTCGGGCAACAATCCCCCCATCCTGAATCGACCCACAAAACAATTTCAACATTCACTCTTTTTTGAGGCACAGCCAGAATTCAGGTAAGGAAAAACTCGAGCAAACAGCAAGCTGCATACTTTCCGACATGCAGAAGCAGAGAGAGCGGCCTTGCTGAGGGGCCCATGTCATTATTATTATATGCCATCAAGTGTAGGTATTAACCAGGTAGGTGGTGCATAGTCAGCCTGGAGTGTAATTTCTATGGTAAACCATACCTTTTTTTTAAACAATATGACTAAAAAAGCAGGCCTTCACTGGCCCATGCTACTTGACAAAAGGTAGGTCCCATGGTGTCGCTTCATCTTATGACTGAAAAAATCAGTGGTTAAAGGAGCCCAGTAAGTCCAAACTGAGTCCTCAGTGCCTTCCTGTCCCCTCGTGGCTCCTTGCTAGATTCAGCCTCTTATCAGATCTGCTCAGTCACTCCCTCCTCTGACAAGCAGTCAGTAGTCCTCCCAGTGCCCACCCACTTCTTTCTAGGCTACTCACTTCTCTGCCCCCTGATCCCCTCCATTTCTTCTATCTCAGCAACTTGGACATAGACCTAAAGATGTCTTGGACATATGCAACCCTCCTGGGTCTCCTCGCTGTGCTCTACGCACTTTCATGTGAGTCTCAAGCAGGAGAATCTGGAATTTGTTTGTTTTTGTATCTTGAATGTGGATTTGGTATCAGGAGTATCTTGCTTGGACCCAGTAATGATAGTTGTTTTGTTATTTGAGGTAAGCAAAGGAGCCTCAATTCTGTGTTTTAATTTAGAAGGTTCATGTTTTGTCCTCTGACCCAGCGTCTCCAGAGGCAAACTCTGCATCTGTACCCAGCAGCAAAAGCAGCACTAAAGATCCACAAGGTGAGCAGCCACATCTGCTGCACCTCCTTTACTGTACACTTCTTGCTTTATCTCTGTATATTGTGAGCTGAACTCCCTCCTGCCTCTACTGCAGGTTCACTCAAGAGAATTATAATGAAGGAGGCCGACGCCTCAAACTTCTTCAGGAGACGCAGCAGACGGGGTGTGAAGTCTCAGGATGAGATTAACAGTGAGTTAGTCTGAGTTTGCGGTTTGTTTGGACTGAAATCTGTCCAGCCAAGGTGATTGTTTGTGGAAATGGTTGGCACTGGTGTTTCATTATATAAGTAAACATTTTGGCAACAGATGCACTCTCACTCTAATTTCCTCATGGCTTTGCCAGAATGGAAGTCATTATTTTGCATCCAACTTATTAATGATATGAGTGATGATTCAAGCCTTTTCAGAATTTGGGATTTAATAAAAAAAAAATCTAAAACTGTCTGCAGTACCCTGTTAATCACTTGTACTCCTTTTTCAGTGATTATAAAGTGTGTAGAAGTGGTTGACAGCACACGGGATTCTTTGGTTTCCAAACAGTCAGGTGTTTATGATCCTGCAACACAACAATAAAACTTTATGGCATGCATGAACCATCTACTACCTACCTACCTTTTCCTGTCATGATTTTAGATAACACTTGCTGTATTGTTATTTTAATAACTAATTTAACATCTGGCAAAGGTTAGTTAGCATTTGACTCTAAAAGAACTGTATGAAACCTTTACTGCTCCATGAGGGAATTTGTCTAGCACAAAGGACCCTCGGAAAAGAGCCTGAAAGATCAGACATCAACATCATCAGGGGAAAAAAGCTTATGCTAAATGTTCACAATACACAGCACTGATAATATGTGCAAAGTAAAACATACTGGTGTCATGTCAGACTTTATTAAACAGCCAAATTCTGCACTGAACTGGAGAAAATATCTCTTTATGTTCTCATCTTGAGAATACAGAGGCACAGTACTGGAAAATGTTCTAGGAAAATGACATTTTTGGCACATTCATAAATGAACTTACTCTTGAAACTGGATATTTTTTGTGGCCTTAATCAACAGTGAGTTAATAGGTTTGTGGCCGTCTGAATGTTTTTATGACTGTGGCGAGCACTGGCCTGACCAGAGAGCACCTCAGACCCATTCAATCACACGGCAGCTCTGCTTCCTCTGCTGAGTGCTGCAGTGGGAGCTACAGGGCAGCATGGAGCTCACACACCCACATCAGTGCAGATCTGACAATGAGCTCCTCACAAATTTTGTGAAATTTCACATACAGTTTGATGTCAGACATCCTTGGGTGATTTAACAGTGCTGTTTTGTACTCTTCTGCCAGGAAGGTGAGAGCACACAGTAAGACTGCTGCTTTGAGTTGTATAACATGCTGTGGATCTGTGTAGCAACAACAAGACATTGTGTGCTGTTACAGTAAAGGAGGAATGAAATGAACACAAAGCAGAGAACACAGTGAAAAGACTGAGATGGACGAGTGAGTGGGTGAGCGGCTGGGAGTTGGCAGCTGGCACAAGCAGAAAGGGGTCAGAGAAAAAGCAAGTAAAGAGTGAGACAAATAAATTGTGCTCACTTTGAAGAGCCTCTCCTGCTGCATAATGGCATGAAAGCACAATGCTTCTCTTGTAGCTACTGTACATAAAACAGTCAAGTGGAAGATTTCTGATATACGTATATGTTAGCTGTACATATATGTGTTTCAGTAGGTGGATAAGATGATGTTCAATTTTAAGGCAAAGGTTTGACATTAAAGATGGACATCAGACTGCAAACACATGCTCCTGTTTGACTTAAGGGTTTCTGTGTTAGTGAGCCATAAGAAGCAGCTTACCAGAGGTGTGTCAGGTGAAGACAGTGATGGATCAACCCTGCCGAGCAATGTCTGAAAAGGATAAGCAAGAGATAGTAGGCAGTTTGACAACACAGGCTGCAAATGGAGAAAACGCAACCAAATATATTAAAACAAATAAGCAGAAAACTTACATGTTAGTTGTCATTTTTTTTCCAACACCTGTAATGGTTTGTCAACCTCAGTGGCTTCACGAGTCACCATGGCACAACAGTAAGTGTGTCCCAGCCATATCCAGCCTTGTTGTTCACTTTTTAGTGGAGGACAAGGTCGTAGTCAGTGCCATTTGGAGCATTTCTGCATGTAGCTGTTTTCTGAATGTTTTAACTATGGCCTCATTAATAAACATATAATTGAATTGATACATTTCTGACAATTTCACCAAAAACAGAAATATTTTGAGCTTCTTAAACACAGATGTTAAGGTGGAAGTGTTGCACTGAAGTGCATACAATTGTACAGGTGTACCTAATAAAGTGGTCGGTGGGTGTATATTTATTGTTATAAGTGTCCTTATATGTAATTAATCAACTCCAGTGAAGTGTCTGTATGGGCTCCAAATCTTATTACAGTACTTTTCTTAATGTAATACTGTGAGTGTTTTAGGTTTTTGGGAAACAGAAACATAATACATATAACTATATATAATTTAAAGTCAGTTATTTAGTTTAACACTTCTGATGTCTTGTCTGGTCCTTTCTTAGCAAATAGCAGCTGGGTGAATATGACAACGTTCTACTGAATCTAAGATGTTTATCATTTTATATTCAGTTAATTCATTATCCTCTTCCTCTGTGAATGCAGTTGAGCAGAGGCAGGTTTTGGCCGCAGATGAACGAAGGAGAGAGTTTCACGAGGAGAAGAGGAATGAGTTTGAGAGCTTGGCTGAAGAGGAGGGTGATGGTAGGTACACTCCTCATGTCTGATGTAGCTGAGAGGGATGAGTTCATTCACCGTATCAACACATTCACCCACTGAAATTCTCAATCTTCCAGAACAAGATGAGAGGACCAGAGAGAACACTGAGCAGTGGAGAGAGTTCCACTATGATGGGATGTATCCTCCACATGAGTACAACCGTCACTCCGTCTGAGGGGCAGCAGGAGCAGAGAGTGATGCTGTTGGCTGACAGAATGCCAAGCTTTAAAAGAAACATCTTCAGCCTCACACCAAATAAGAAAGACTTGCTTTAGGTATTATAAGTGATGCAAAGGCCAATTTGTTTTATTTTTGTTTACGCTTGCCATTAATAACAGTAATTATTGATCATCTACTATTTATTTCCACAACCAATTATTTGGTCTGTAAAAAAGTTGTGTTTTAAATCAGAGTCCACAAGTTATACAGTAGATATAAAACTATTATATAATTCTGGAAACCCACAGACTTATTTGATATTATGAAGGGGAACAGCTGCTTAAAAAGTAGTCATCATCATAATTAACAGACAGAGAGCATATACGCTACCAGTAAAAACTTTGGATACATGTTCCCATTCTATTCAATGCAAAAGTTTTGACTAGTTTAAAAATTTTTAGCTGAACATCTGAACAGAATGTGTGATTGTCATTAGCAAAATAAAGCAAATCTCATACAATTAGGGAAAGTCAAGTATCAAGCTGATAGTTACATAGATGTGCAATGATTTTATGGCACATCACCAGAAGCAGAACAATTCCTATATATAGTATTTGCTCACTTGTAATAACAATTTATATACAACTCCAAATCAGAAAAAGTTGGGACAGCATGTAAAATCAAAATTAAAGCTGAAAATAGTGATTTGGGGTTGTGTATTACCTCTATCAGTTTAAAGTCTATATTCATTAAAATGTATAATGTAAGTAGTTTGTGCAGACTCTTACTCTTTTACTCCCTCTCAAAGAAGCAACAACACATGCAAACAAGCCTCTTTTTTTAATACATGAAACTGTAAAACTCCAAAGCACAGTTCTGCAGCAATATGAAATACATGCATACTGAGGGGCTTTAAATTCTTTTTTTTTTTTGCTTCATTTTGGGGTTTTGGGGGGTATATATATATTTATATATAGGGAAGACAAAAATAAAACACTCAAGACCCAAGCAAACTGTGTTGTTGAGATTTGTATTTACAGTAAACAGAGGCTCAAAGTCCATATATCAATCACGACAGTTATAGATAAAGCCCTTGATACTGGGCATGTTCTGGTAGAATGTGTTTTTTTCCAATTTAATAGTCATTTAAACTTAAATAGAGGTACTACAGAGAAAACACAAAGAGAGATCCCTTCTCTTCTCTGTGTTAAAGTCTCTGCAGGAGTGTTTCTGCTAAATTCAACAGGCTGGTATGAAAGCACAGTGATTAAACACAGTGAGTGAGCCGTTTTCAGACCAGCCACTTTGTGAGTGGAAGCAGAGCACAATATTTCAACTACTGAACTGTACACTACTGATTTGACAATTCTGCAATGGGAGCAATTGTTGTCAAGATACATTTGCATTCCTTTGTCATTGTACATCGTTACTGCAAACATGAATGTTACACTTCACCGATAAACACTTTCTTTAAATCCAAATCTATAACTCCTGGTTTTTAAAGGGAAAACCATCCATTCAGTACAAGTCACATGATGCTCATACTCTCAGTAATGATTTAAAGAAAACAAGCTTCTCTCAAACTCTCCCAATGGCACATTAGAATAATATGCAGTATTTGGAGGTTTTACTTTACCATTCCCATCCCCGACAGCAGTGTCCGACCACTCAGAGAGGGGTTTGGTTAGTCATCCCTGAGAAATGGTCACAACAACATGTGGTTGCCCTCCTGTGGCCAAGGAGGACCTCACAGTCACATCAAAAGTGAATAATCACATAACACAGAAATTACAAAATAACAATCATTAGATACCGTCTTATCATTCAATGCAATAATTTTTCAGTCCAGTCTGATAACACATTTACACATTTCTGCATGTAGTATTCTTACAAAGGTCATAGTATATTGTAAGAAAATAAATAATCCAATACACTAGTGCAATGCACTGGTCCTCTCTCTGTGACTGCAGTGCATTATCCTGTTCATGCTTCATGCCCTCACACTTAAAGTAAAGAGGTTACACGTACTCACATACTGTTGGGAGTTACTATGACCCCGTGAGCCACTGTAACAAATACCACAGCAAATTAACAAACTGTCAAAACGACGAGACGTTCAGAGTGCAGATGATGTCACAATTATTTACCACAGCTTATATTTCACTTGCATAACAGACTCCACTCAATAGTTCCAAGCAGAATATATACACAAGGCATACAGGAGAGCATCCAGTCTCAGGATGCTCGCAGTCAAAAATGACAGCATTACCCTTTAGTGTGGCACTTTCTAGAGCAGCTGCTTGTTTATCTGGCAGATAAACAGGATCCAGGCTGAACACAGCTTCCACAATAACAACCTCTGATGAGCCTCTCCCCCTCTGTACCTCTAGGTCTGTGTGACAGTAAGAACAGTGTCGTGCTAAGCCGTAGTTAATGGAGCTGAGCCAACACTTCTCAAATTCCTCCCGTGGTTGACAGCGACAGATGGGAGGTGGCGGGATGGGCAAACTGGGCAATGACATCGACTCACGAGGCCTGGGATGGTTCCATCCCGCCTTAAAGCTCCGTGGTCTCCCAGCTCACCTCCCGCGGAACCTGGCGTCATTTAGTACCCGTGTGTATGACAGTAACGGTTGAGGGACGTGGCCGTGGTGGCTCAGCCACCACCGATGTCTCCTCTTGTTCAGGAGAGGCGCCATCGGAGTCCTGATTGTACGCTTTAACAGCTGAGGGCAAAGGAGCTATTGGAGGACCTGTGGGAGAACATATGGTTTAAGGAATGTTATGAACTGAGTTTTATTTGACATGGGGAAAAAAAAAATACAAGCCAACGGACAAGTCTGGAAAACAAATGCCACGAAAGACCAAAACAAACAACACACTAGTCAGTCTCTTAATACTTCCCACTTCAGCCTTGGTTGGTTCACAATGAAGACTTTAAAAACATATTACAAGTATATACTTTCATTTTGTGAAATAAACCACAGGATTAAACTGCACCAGGCCTTAGTTACACAGACATTACTTATTGGTCAGACCAATTCCTTGTTGGTTTCTTAGATCATCAAATTTAACAACAACAAATATCACTTGTGTTTTTTAAGCTCGTCTTTCTTAACCTGTGATATACTACTGTGTACTGCACATTTTTATTTTCATTATCATTTGGTCTTTTCATTTGTTTTATGCTTAATAATTTAGTCCTTCAATCTAGAAACCCAATAAATCAGTAAGCCTATAAAAAGTGACAAAACGGCGAAAAATGCCTAGCACAATTTCCTACAGAGCTCAGCGGAGTGCTGTGCTACGAGTTGGACATGTTTATGTCTGCAGAGAGGATCTGAAGTGTCACTTACAGTCCTGCAGAGAGAGCGGGGCGCAGTCCACTGACTGGCTCTTGGCTGGAGCCCGGCTCTGAGGGTTGGACACAGAGTTGGCGCTGTGGATGTTGCTGCCAAAGCTGCTGCCCAGCTGCAGGCGCCTCATGTGGCGAATCACAGCGGTCGCATTAAAGGCTTGCTGTGAACAGAAGGTGTAAAAAGACAAACGTAATCCTGACATCAAAGTCCTGGAGAAAGACTACGTTTTTGTAATTCAAACAGAGAATATTGTGTATTTTACTAAAGATGGTTTTTTGGTAATAACTGATAACCAAGGAAGATGCTGTCCTGTGTGCTCACCCTCCATTTGCTTTTGGCAAAGTTTTTCCGCATCTGTCGGCTGACTGATTCATGTATGTTCTTGCAGAGAGCTGTGTCTCCGGCAATCCTGAAAATTAAAGTGAAGTCTTTTTGATTATGTATTTAAAAAAACAATTCACACATACAAACACAGCATTCGACAAGTGATTTATATTTGTATCTGTAATACCTTGGGAATCAACCACATGTTATTTTCCTGTTTGCTTCTATCATTTATTTACATGCTACTAAAACATCTTTGATTGATGGAGCGATGTTTTCACAGGAGCTCACACACTGTATCACTTTGTCACTTTCATTATAATATCTCTGTATGAAACCTTGTCAATGAAAGTCATTTCTCTCTGTTATGACACCTCTCACCGGTATCACAAATCACAGATTTGTACCAGAAGGACCACCTGCCCAGGAACCGAAAGCCTCATTACTGGCTAACAGACTTATTCATATTGGCCACCTCAGCTGGAGACAGCAGCCCACGCAGGCTCGTGCTCGGTAGCTCTGGCTCAGGCCTGGGAGGACATCCTAATTGTTCATTAAAGCTCCCACATTCTTCAAGGATCCTTCAGGATGCCAGCCATTAATTGGCAGCCATTTATTCAGCAGCTTTCTCTGTGAGGGCTGGCGGCGCTGAGCAGAGGTGGGCTTGTGGCTTGGAGCCATGGCGACAGATGACAGTGGGACGACATGCTCTCCATGACAAATGCATAAGCCTGGCAATCTGCGTCATACTGCTGTTTAATCACACTGAGATATGTGGTTCCCTGTGATTGTCTCTTTGGGGCACAGTGTGTATGCAGTTAGCTTCTCACCAGGGGTGCTGAAGAGCCTGGTCACACGTGAATCTCTTCTCTGGGTCTTTCTCCATTAGGCAGCTGATGAAGTCTTTGGCTGTGGAGGCAATTAAAAAGGTTACGACTATGTCCAGCTGAGAACATGTTCTACTGTGTACTTTTTTTGGTAATGCTTTATTTTACTGGTTCTGTAATATACTGAAGAATTTTCTAAGACAATGTCAGAGGAAAAAAAAAAATACAATTTGGTACTAATTATAAAGAAAATAGAGACAGAACATATACCAAGTAAAACAAAACAAAGGAGTGAAATGTTTAATGACTGGAAAAGCTGAAATATCCAAGTAAATACAAATGTATATTGGGAAATGTTTCCTCCATATCTGTAAGTAAAGTAGGAAAACTGAGTAGAACAATAAATAAGCTGCTGAGAGAAAAACTAGAAAAAAATAAAAGGGTTCTCTCTATTTTTACCAGTTGAGGGTTAAAACTATAAAACTTTATATTATTATATCTTGGTAGTGAAGTATCTTGATGTATTTAATTATATTTTGTCTGATAATCTTTTTACTGCCTTGTGCTGGTTTAGTAGCTCCATACACTAGATCCTTTATAGAAAACTATTAGGACCTGGGAAATAAAGTATTACTATGCATTTTCAGAAAACACACACACACACACACACACACACACACAGTATGTCATAGCTCACCAGAGTCTGATATGTCATCCCAATATGGCGCGTCAAACTCATAGTCTGCCTTGAGAATCTGCTCAAAGAGCTTCGAATCATTCTCGTCATAGAAAGGAGGGTAACCGCAAAGCCTGTGAAAATGGATGATTACACAACAACAGCCTGTGTGAATGTCATCATCCAGCCAGTGTTAGAAACTTTAACCCAAATCTAAAGGGATTTGCTGCAGCCTAATCTCATTCACTTTGCAGTTTGATTTTTCATATAGTGAGAGGGTTCAGAGGGATTATAGGCACCACATGAATAATGAGAGGGAGGAAATGTGACAGAAACAGTCCATTTTCATATGATCTGGGGGAAAAGGGACATGCAAATTGCAGATGTAAAATGCTGTATATTTAAGTTGTGCTTTTGATTATGACACAATAAAAATTATTCTGTAACAACCACCCGGGAGAAGCAGGCGTCAGAAACTTTTCCACTTGATCACCTTAAAATTCATTACGACTAATGGCTGGATTACAAGACCAGGGATTTTCCCTTTGCTGGCGAATGACACCCCTTTACTTAATTGTGCAGTTTCACCTGAAAGATTTATAGACTGTAAAATAGGAACAACCGCTGTGAGAATCCCTCGACTACAATCCTAACCAAACACTGTTTAACACCAAATGGTCAGGACAATCTTGGTAAAGAGATTTTTAAGGTTAAGGGCTTCTTTGTGGTTTCTGATCTGAATGGTAATTTCCCATGTACATAAATTGTTCCAGTACATCAAATACGCAAAGTTTGCTTCCGTTAATTACTCAGTTTATGTTTTCAATAAGTACTCACAGGATATAAGCGATGACCCCAATAGACCAGCAGTCCACAGCTTTACTGTAAGGTTTCTGAGCTAAAACCTCTGGAGCTGGAACAAAGACATTATTTAAAAAATTGTTAGGAAAACTAAAATTCTTGTAGTGAAACAGTGCAAACAGGAGTCAACCATTCACCGTGACACAGAGGCTGGACAAGAATTTGAATGTTTGTCTATAACAGATGGCTAAGGTTAACCTGTGGCTACTGGTGGATTAGACTAGGTCATGTTTGGCTACCTAGAGCAAATAAATATCTCAGAGTGTTCTCAGCACTCACCCACATATCCTGGAGTCCCACAGGCAGTGGCCATCACGTCACCTGTTCCCTCCATCTTTGACAGGCCAAAGTCACTGATCATGATCTTTGACTCATCATGAGGACTGAAGTACAGCAAGTTCTCAGGCTGTAAATAAAGAGCCCAACAGTTTGCCGGTGCATGTCTCTCTGTGTTTTTGTGTATTTTTTCTGTGTAAATAAATCTGTTATACAGACAATAAGAAATCAGACACAATAATACCCTGGATTTTGTCATTCAAGAGTCAGAGGACTACAGTTCATCCAAGAGGCTTCATCGGTTTTACCGAGAAGGATTGACATTTAACCTTTGTAGGTACTCTGTGCCGAGAGCTGATGCAATGTCACTCACACAGGTAAAATAACAGGGATTTCCACTCTCACCAGAACTGACGTGTTTCAACTGTTCGACAACAAAAGCAGTAGATTTGTGAGGAACTATGAATATATTATGAATACTGTTTTACCTTTAGGTCTCGGTGCACTATGCCCATGGAGTGAAGATAGTTCACTGCATCCAAAACCTGCCGAATAAGCCGACTGGCATCCATCTCTGTGTAGAAGCCCTTTTCTACAATTCGGTCAAAAAGCTCACCTCCAGACACCCTGTGTCGCACAGAAGACCACAGAAGTCTGGTTTACATAAGAAGATTGTGAAAGAGAGAAGCAGAGCTAGGACAGGAAGAAAAAGAAATACCAAATAAATAATAATAAATACACAAATTAACAATAAATATATCAGTTTGGACACACTTTCCCATTGAAATGAATGGGAAAGTGTGTCCAAACTGATGCACCAGCATCTTCTCAGTTACTTTAAATCACAATTACAAAACAAGTGGCTCATGTTAAGCTGAACATCAGCTGTGAGATAGTGCCTGCTTTCACAGATGGCTGTGTGTGTGTGTCAGCATTTTTATAAGTAAGACTTCAAGGCAGGGTGGCACAGCGGTGCGGTGCTTCCAAGTTCAAGCCCGGGCCGACCCGGGGCCTTTCTGTGTGGAGTTTGCATGTTCTCCCTGAGCCAGCATGGGTTCTCTCCGGGTACTCCACCTTCCTCCCACAGCCCAAAGACATGCAGCTCAGGTTGACTGGTGACTCTAAATTGCCATAGGAGTGAATGAGTGTGGTTGTTTGTCTACAGGTCAGCCCTGTGATAGACTGGCGACCTGTCCAGGGTGGACCCCGCCTCTCACCCAATGTCAGCTGGGATTGGCTCCAGCCCCCCATGACCCTATTCAGGAATAAGAGGTATAGATAATGGATGGATGGACTTCAAGGCAACATTCCGCACCTTTCAGAGGTACAAAGAGGGCAGATAACCACTGCCTAAATTGCTGATGCATTAGTCACAATCACAGTGAAATTATATGGCAAGGGGGAAAGGTTTCAAAATCATGAAGTCATGTGACCAACTGGTACCAACACTGAGTGAAATTCATTTAATGAGACGATAATTACAGCCAGTGGGTTTAGAACATATTCATACCTTTTTACACATATGTTCTTTATTATCTAATTTTAAATGTATAAAACTCCCATTTCATTTGAGAGTGGTATCAATCTTCTCATCTGAATCTCACGAACAAAGCAAAAGTGTTTTCCCCAAAATGTCTAATTATTCCTTTAATTTACTTCTTATATTTTGTAAAGCTCAATTATGAACTTTGTTGCATTATTTAGCTCCTATGTAGGCCTACATAAAATATTTATGTTAAAGACTCATTCCTTTCTAAAGCATCGCCGCAGACATGAGCGTGAGGACAATGGCAAGGACATTACAGACGCTCATTCAAGCAGAATCACAACACATTATCAAAATGACGGGCCAAATGGGAGACAAAGAGCTGACCTAAACAAACAGTGTGATGGGTTGATGTACTTACAGCTGCATTATGAGGTACAGGTGGTTTGAGCTCTCATAGATGTCCTCCAGAGCCACAATATTCTCGTGCTTTATCCTGGAAATGGAGAACAGAAAATTCACTTTGCTTGCTGTCAGCTTCTGTTCATTTCAGCACAGGCTTGTAATGAGGTGCAATTAGCCTTTTCTTTTGTGAAAATGATGCCCTGCCAACTGAAAACAGATCGTTTTTTTGCTGTCTGTTCCAACACATTGCCTGTATTTACACTCATTGTGTATTTGTGCATATCTGTATGTCTACACATCTTAAAATTGAACCTGGCAAAGCATAATATTCACAAAAGGGAGAAAACCTTTTGATAGAGAGCGGGGCGGGGGGGGGAATCTCATTCTCTATTCAGTGAGTCATGAAGTGGCAACCCCTGTCCCCAGGAGCAACTGATAAACTAGTATAAAATGTAGAAAGATGCTGGGAGTATGTGTCCAGGCAACCAACCGACAAGGCTTTAGTCACAAAAAAAAACCCCTCTGCAAGAAGATATGCAGATGACAGAGCATGTTCAGAAGGGCAGGTGGCTGAAAACAGTAAGGTGGGGGTGTATGAGGAGGTGGCGTAGGAAGTCTGAAAGGACTAAATAACCTTCACAACTTCCTTTCTATGTCCAGAAAATATATGAGGCTGCAGTTTGAGGACTGTTAGACAAACAGAGACAAGTAAGGAGTCTAAATAGAGAGAGAAAATCAAGACAGAGAGGAAAAAAGGAGGATAGCAACAGTAACCAAGCAACTATACCCAACAACTGGCGTGCTTACTTCAAGAGTGACTGATAACTAAGATTCTCAAGGGAATCACTCATCAGGCCCTGGAGGGGGCTGGAGCGTCAACTGGTGTCAGTGCAATCCTATCATACCCTGTGTAGCTGTGTGAGTGTGTAGACCCAAAATGGTGGATAGATGAGATTCGACAAGGAAGTCAGTTAAGCCTGACAATGACTGTTAAATAAACAGAGAGGCACCGACTGAGAGTGCAGACAGCCACACACACACAATCTTCCCCAAGGATGATGGAAAGTGGTGGCCCTTTCTAAAGCTGTGTTCTTGTTCCGCAAATTCCCCCATGGCTCAGTCAGGCGGTACCTACTTCCTAAGCACGGCGATTTCATTTTCAATGCTCGTCTCCTTCCCCTTCAGGGCTTTTTTTGGGATGCACTTGATTGCGACCATCTTTCCTGTGGCCTTCTCCTGAGCCATCACCACTTCGGAAAATGCACCTCTGCAAGAGAAAGAGAAACATATTAGTCATGCTTTAAATGTGCTCAGGCAATATTGACAGAAAACCTATCATCAGTGAATAGATGGAGGGCCCTCAGAGGCAGACAGGCCAGAGTACACAAACAGCATATTGTGAATATTTACTGAGAACTGGCAAAGTCCCCCACTATGGCCAGCAGCCTTCTGTGTTGGCCTACGCTTGCTACTTGGATGCAGCCAAAAGCACGGCAAACACTTTTAAAACCTCAAAAAAAAAAAACAAAAAAAAAACACCCATTTAGGAGGATGGCGGAAAGCGCGTCTTCCTCAGCCATCTGTCTCCATACACGAGAGCCTTTAAAAACAAATACAGAATTAAGGGAATATTTGCCGAAGCAATTGTATCTGTTGCTATGATACCACACTCAGTCCACCATAACAAATCTTGCTGGGCAGGCACCATGATTGCTTTTTGTTCCCCTTATTGTTTTCATTATCCACCTTCATAGACACTTTCTTACTTGCATGTGCCCTCACAATGGTTTGATGTGAGGATCTTAAATAGGAGTGATGAGCTGAAACTCTGAGTCATGCTCACTGTGCCCAAAGACTAAAGTCATCTTTGATAACTCATCAGCATATGAAATAAAATGATAATCTGAGCCAAGGTTGTCTTTTTTTTTTTTTTTTTAAATGGTACCAGTTCATAAATTCTTGATGAAGACATCTGCTCAAATAACAAAATGGAGTTTCTCAGCTACACTTTCACTACCATGAGGTTTTAAATTTAGCTTTAATTATTCCTATTAATTTTCTCCTTTTCTATTTAATCTCAAACTGAACTGCCGATGAAGGTTTTACTGTTTCAATTTTGTTTTTTATGCCTCTGTGCCGGCATTATGTTTTGGGGTTGTCTGTGCGCATGCCCCATTCTTGCGAATGTGATATCTTGGGAACACCTTGAGGGAATTTCTTCAAATTTGGCATAAATGTCCACTTGGAGTCAAGGAGTAACTGAGATTTTGGTGGTCAAAGGTCAAAGGTCAAGGCCAGTGACCTCATGTCTGTCCATTCCCATTACATTTTAGAGGCACAAATATATAGTCACCTTTTTCTAATATTTTACATATTGGTCCTAAAAAAGTGAATTTCTCTATACAGTTTATGTAATGGACAACTGCTGCCCTTTGTTGGAACATTTACCTGCCACCACTACTGCATGACAGCTTTTCTGCTAGTATTAAAAAAAAAAAATATTTACCCTATAAAATAATTATAAAGGATTTTCCTCAGACATGACATAAAACAAAAGTCCAGTGAATTTTTGATTATATCTTGCAAATATAAAAAGTAAAAGGACAAGCCCAGAAATTTAAATTTAAATTAAATATGGTTTATTGTTGCCACTTTGCATTTGTTTTTTCCATTTCTGACAAAAGGGTGAGTTGTTGAAATAGGGTTTGTGTTGTAACTTCATCAGTTACACAAAACTTAAAGATATGTGGTGAAACAAACCTGAAATAATTCACCATACAAACGGGAAGATGCCGCATCAGTTCCTCCTAACAGGATCCAAACTCAGCGCCACTCGCTGCACTTTGTCCCACTGTGGCCATTAAATCCACGCTAATCCCTCACTGCACCATCGCACAGGGGGAGGGTCAGTCAGAGCCACAACACACAAATACAGACTGTGTACAATCATGCCACCTGGTCACAAAGCCTGTACCCAGGTGTGATGAGGTGGAACACACTCACTGCAAACAAACAGAAGGGAGAGAGCTTGGGGCAGGCGTCCTTCTGACTTGGACCTCATTCTGACACTATGTAAGATATGTAAATTCACTGGTTTTTGTGGGACTTAATGCTGTAACAGGCCAGCAAGTAGTGCACCATCTTCCCACTGCAGCTTCTGCCATAAGGACAGTGAGCATCATTTCCATTCACTGCATGTGACTGATATCCACAGCTGTGTGGACATCAGGAGAAATTCAAAATTCCTCCACCGGCACACTGAGCCTGTCAAGTGACTCTTGTGCACCCTTTCTCAGAGCACAATGTCTGCAGCAGGAAACACACACACACACACACACACACACACACACACACACACACAGGAAACCTGTGAACTAACAGAGGTTGGTTTGAGCATACACCACCATTTCTGCCGCCCCCCGCTCATCACATTAACAAGCAGAGACATCACTTCCTGAGAATGACAACATGACAGAATCCAAGCCTGTGACCTCCCTTGCTCATGACAAACTATGCTGCAAGCTCTCGTAGCTTTTATGCTAATAAATCATAAATCACAGGAAAGATGAAGGTGTGGTGTTTATTTGAGACTTGCATATGGTGGTGCTACCACCCACATGCTACACAAATATACGGCAGCACATCAACAACTATCCCATACAAGTCGAGAGCTGAAAAAATGTTGTTCAAAGGGAATAACTCTGACCTCAATTAAATATTTCATGCCATTTTTTAAAATGCTTGACATTTCCTAGCCAAGCTTTTCAATTTTTTTTAAATCATATAATGACAGGAAAGTAAATGAAATGGTCTTGGGCTGTTGGTCAGACAAATGGAGCAATCTTCTAGCTTGAATCAAAAAAAACTATTTGCGTAATTAATCAAATATAAAAATTATGGTTAGTTGTAATGTTACATAACCACCAAAGCACATTTATCCCTAAAATAATCACTGATTTGATGTGGAACAGTATTAAGTGATATGAAAAAATTCCATCTAAACCAGACCCTTTACTGAAACACATCTCAATCTATTACACAAGACAAATAGGATTGTGTGGCAGCAAAATGTTTGTGACCCGGTGTCACAATCAAGCCAGCACACTGACTCACTTGGTTGAATAACAACATTTGAATTTTAAGATGCTCTGAGCTCCCTGTGCACGGCGCATGGATGACAGTAAGAGCTGTGTGTGTGTGTGAGACGGTCTGCAGTCACACACCACCACCACCACAATGTGCACAGGACAGCCAAGCCAACGCGGCTGGCTAGTGTGAAATGTAAATGTGGGCAGCTCTTTGTGTGAAACCAGCGGCTGATGCTGCAGATGCAAAGCTGATCCTTGTATGAGATAATCATCAGCCTCAGCTGGTAGTCATCAGCGATTATGAAAATGCAGGACATGTCGATGGAAGAACTTTCTTCGATGGCTTATTGACAGTGACAGGTGGCGCATGTATTGTGGTGCTGCTGAGCAGTCACACCGAATCATCCTGCATTACAGTGGCCCGTCATTTGTTACTCAACATATGGTATGGAAAAGCTGGGACTTAATAATCCAGGTAGAGCTACTGCTGGTGTAACCTGCTGCGTTCAAAGTCACCCTTATACTGTCCAACAGCAGCTTCGATCAGAAACATGAAAGATGACATGATCGGTGCTTTAAAAGGAAAAGGAAATGATGTATAGAGTTTGTGAAGACTTATAAAAGCCAAGCAGACTCCCTTATCAACAAGAGCTCACAAAAATCTCAAGCAAAACAGATTCAGGATAATTAGGACTAACACCGGTTCTCTTTATTATGATCCTGATTATTCTACACTGCACATAATTTAGCCAGGCCTCCTTAAATCTGGTAATAAAAGTTGTGCTGGCAGCAGATAGTTTTGCACTTACACAAAACACTGATTTTGTTAACAGACTTCTCACCACCATCTGCTCAGCTGTGATATGCTGCTCTGTCTGCTCAGAGTTGTATCAACTAAAGTGTCAGCTGGACAAACTATGTGGAAATGAGGCTTGTGTAACTTAACATATACCAGTATAATACTAGATTACATTAGGAGATTATAGTCTACATTCAAAACAAATGCAAAGACGATGCATATAAGTATTATCTGTAAAATGTAAAACATGCATAGTGAAAAGTATTGAAAGTGAAAGTACTTGTGATGCAGGCAGAATGGTAATATTGTTACTAACACAGCGTTTTATACCAACAGCTTGAGTTAGAATAAATTTTAACCACCTTACATACTTTAGAATTTATCTGAGAGTAAACTAAATATTTGAGGTTTCAGAGTACTTGTCAAATAAAACCAACCATTTAAATAACATCTGGCATGTAGTAAATAAGAGTAGTGCAGTAAAGTATTATCAAATGGTAGAACTCAAATAAAGTACAAGTATCTTAACATGGCTCGTGTGTTTCTCTCCACCACTCCACAAAGGTAATCTGATCCTTGCAGGTCATAAACAGCATCGATCTGATGCTGCAGGGTTAAATAATATGACTAGAATGAAATCCAGCGGCTCTCACAGTCCCAGCGACTGAAGCTAGGAACCATTAAACAACAACACCACACACAGGACCTGAGGCTACCTTCCAGAAATGTGCACTTTCTCTTCACAGACTGTTGATCAAACAGGGAGAGATGGTCAGTTTACAGGCCAGTAAGAGCGAATGCCGCTCATAAACAACTGAAGAGAAAAATGATGTGACACTCCAGGGAAATATTTAGCAGAAACCTGCCTGAAGCCACAGATCAGCCTGTCAGAGAAACACTGAATTATTTTAATAAGACTGATTACTGCTTCCTGTGCTCTGATACCGGGCAGACTGCTACACTTCAACACCGAGTGCAGTCGAATAGGCGCTGCGGCTCTGGCATTCACTGTGAGCACAGGTGCACTAATACAAATGAAAACTGAGGATATTACACAACACACTATGCATTGGCTTCTTGAATTATCTGACTCCGTCATTACCGTCCATGACAAAGTTTCTCCTCCCACAGTGAATTTTAGCTGAAGGAGGGTGAGAATGATAGGCAGCGTCTTCTTCAGAGGGGAAAGCAAGGACTTTCATCATTTTAGTTGCCTAGCTGCCATTTTCACAGCATTCAGGCTGCTTTCAAAGAACCAGCTAGTCTCTACACCAGCTGTTTTAGAGAACGGTCAATGAACAGAGTCAGACCTGTTTATTCAGTCATATCAAACTCAGACTTTTCCTCTTTGTCGGCAAAAAGAATCATACGATTGCGGCTGTAGCGGGACAGCAAGAGACATGACAGCTATGGTGGAGCCCTGCGGCGACAGCGAACACAGGGAAATGTTGACACTTAAATATCAGAAAGTGGGATTAAAAAAAAAAACATGACAAAGCATCTATAGTGATGCAGTTGGAAAGCATCATTTCTTGACTGCTTTCTACCCACCACATTTAAATAACATACACCATGTTACAGAGCCAGGCCCATGGATTTTTGAGGAGCACAAAGCAGCTAAACAGACAAATACTTCCCTCACTTGGTAGAGACCAAACACAGAACTAAATCACAACTCTGTCTCCATAACTTTGTTAAAAAAAAACCTGAATGTGTAAATAAGCAACTGTTTGCTAACGATGTCATCATATCAGCCTAAAGGGTTTCTGAAGAGGTGGAACTGAAAAACACACTGTTGGAAATTTTTACAGTAAAAAATAAATGGTTGGCTCTTTCTGGGAAGCAAACTATGTAATACAGTTTCTAATTTACCTCAAACATTATCTTTGGCATTTCACCGCTGCAGCTTCTTGTTATTTACTGGTTGAAATGCACCAGGAATAATGGATGGATGTGAACCTGATTTTGACAGATACAGTATATCAGCCCATTCAGGCTGATCCAAGACGCCATAGAGGAATCTGTAGTGATACTTACCTTGAAGTGGATAAGGTACTGGCCATGATTACTACATTAAATACAGTTTATTTATCGCTGTCATTATAAAATTCAAGGTTTCTGCTATCTCTTCGATTTTTAAGTCACAGAGGCTGCAGACAGTTTGAGCTCCAGGGAAATGCCTCATCATCAGTTACCTTTCTTTAAAAGATTCAGATGAGTTCCATGAACACCATGAACTTATTTTAAATCTGGAAAAACTGGTATTGGAATGACACTCACTGTCAGCAATTCTGAGTTGGGATATCAGAAAGAGATGTGAGAGAATGAGTAGGATTAGTGCATCCTTATCCATCAGCCAGGCTCTGGTACGCTGCTGAAAAAGTATCAGCATTGCCACTGGGTGATCGGCAACACCACCTGCACATTTACAGCACTTGCCCATTGGGATCTCTAAAGGTGCTCGTGGTCTGGTTGCTTCATTTTCTTCCATGGAATATCAGCAGTTTAAGGGTCTGAAACTAGCTGCAAGGCAAGTGGCGGTGAGGAAGGAGGACTGACTTCAGTGGTGAAGATCTCATTAGTTCACAACATGCAGAGTAAGGAAACATGAGGGAAGAAGCCAAAGCATTACTGACACCGCCGCAGGCTTCCTGCTCCCAAAGCCCTACCAATATCTGATCAGTCATAGCAATCACACACACACCGACAGTCTGGCCTCGAGCTGCTGCTGAACTCGGATCTTTTTTTAAATAAAATGTTCAAATTGATGCGCACTTTTTAAAAGCACACATCCAAATGTTTCAAACCCCAAAAACCACAGTCAAAACAACAAAATGTCAACCTGGACAACTACGCCTCTTATAATCAATTCATCCCTGCTGTGTGACTGTTCAAATAAGCAGCATTCATACTAAATATATTCAAATCCTTAAATAAAAATAACAATACAGCAATTTAAAAATCTTGTTACAAGTGGAAGTTCTGCATTAAATTTTGCAGTATAAGTAGAAGAATAAGTCCAGCATGCTCTTAAAAAATTGGTTAAAAACAGAATGGCCCCTGTCAGGGTTGCACTGAATAATAATTTGTTATTGTTACTGATTTCAAAGGAGTAGGTGGTGGAGATCGAGCTATTGCGCTGCTCGTTTAATCTATAACATTGCATCACTTAATAATCATGCTGTAGGTTTAGCGTGTCACATCTAAGTATAGCTAACTGATGAGTGTACAATATTTTAGTAGTACAAAATGAAAACATTCAAATAATTAAGTCACTGTACTTGAGTAAACGCGCTTAGTGACTTCATGCAATGACTGAGTTCTATCTGGCCTGCAGACGGATGGGAAACCTAACCAGGAACCTACAGTAACATATGAAAGCAGGAGGAGGAGGAAGATAATCTTTGTTCCCACCTTTGACCAACTTCCTTGTTCATATTTAATCTGCAAAGCTGCAGGGCCTGTTGTGAACCTCACTGTACAGAAACACACACACACAGGGCCTAGTACGTGGGACTTAAAGTCAATCGGGTTGAGTACACGGTGCACAGTATGTAACATCAGGACTGAACAGACAACTGGCCGCAGAGACATGTTGGGCTGTGGGCGAAGGACGTGCGTTCCTCCAACCTGGCCACTGTGTGGACAGTAAATCATGATGATTCAGTGGTGTTATTCAGAGGATCTTCACACATAATTGAAAACCTTGGGAAAATCAGAACAGCCTCCAGGTAGAAACGTCTCACTGTTTTGTGCAACAGCTGAAGTGTCGACTCCGCTGCATAAATCACAGATCTGTTTGAGAATTTCGTGATGCTGCTGCTCAGGAAAAACAGATCTGGGGACACGTCGAGCAGCTCCACAAAATGAGAAGCAGGTGAAGGCAGCCAAGAAGTTTATTATGAAAATGAATGTGAGTTCACAGAAGATGAGGCTGCATATCTGACAACAGAAAACCACAGTGACTATCTTTAAGACTCCACACCGGCGATAGCCGCAGGACGCATTATGTTTTTTGGGTTGTTCCTCCATATGATTCTGGTGAATGTGATATGTCAGTAATACCTTGAGGGAATTTCTTCAAACTTGGCACAAGTGTCCACACTAACTCAATAATGACCTGACTAGATTTTGGTGGTCAAAGGTCAAGGTCACTGTGACCTGGTATTACTCCCATTTTTGTGAACGTGATATGTCAAGATCACCTTGGATTGAAAGATGAACTGATTAGATTTTGGTGGTCAAAGGTCAAGGTCAATGACCTCACTTCTGCCCCATGAATTTGACTGGTTGACAGAGGCATATAACCACGAAGCTATAACTCTAGTTTCCTTATGACTGGCCTCTTTCTCAGTGTAGCTACAACCACAGAAACTTTTAGCCCTCATCTTGACATCAGTTTCCGAGGTCAACCTAAAAAAACAATAGTGAGACGCAGACCCTTCCCCAGATCCCAACAGCGCAAACATCATCACATTAAATCACTCTCAGACAGGAGACATAGCATTAGGGGACAAAGACTTGCAGAAAAATGAGAAATACACTCCATTAAATGTGTGATAACACCTAGTGATTTATAACAAGACTGAATGGGAGTTGTTTGTGTCATAAGTATGACCTACTCTGGGCTAGTTTCTATTCAGGGGAACACTTAAGCTCTCTTTCTGCTGTGAAACATATTGAAAGAAAAGGCATTAAGCAGCACTAACCGTGAACCAAAATAAACAGTGGAATTTGCTATGTGGTCCAAAGGCAAGTGAATAGCTGCAGCCCTGGTGGTTCCAAAACTAACAGGATCAGTTCTCACGAGTGTTTTCTGTACAAACAAGTATCTGTGACAGTGAGAGGAACCCATCAACACATACATTACGATTCTCAGCTACAGTTTGCTCCTCTGTCTGAGGAAACGAGCACAGGAATCCAGTCACTACAGGCGGTCGCTTATTTCGGAGCTGATTTCATCATGTGTGTATGCAAATAGGCCCTGCTGTCTTTGTCATAGTTGTACTGTACAAACGACCCCAAATAAATGGCTGCCTGCACAAAGCTCCACACACATGCTTCAGCTCTAGTCTGATCTGTGACACAGGCTGCAGTAGTTTCTGAATGAACCGTGACAACCAGGCGCATCACGCGTCTGACTTCCCACATTATTGTCTCATGAAGCATTATTCCCCCCGTCTGAACAACTAACCGATTAGCTGGGTTTGGTTTTAAAAAGACGTCTCTTTTAGAAGACAGTAAGTTCAATTAGCTCCGTCGAATAATTCTCTGTTAATTCAGATATTCAACAGCTGTCATTCTGCTTTTCATTTCCGTTACAATGTGACATTGTTGTCTGACGCTAATTTGCACAACTGGATACAAAGTTTCTTGTCGCCTGCGAAGCTGCGTTATCTTGTTACTCACGTCCCAAGGACTTCCTTGAAGTCAAATATCTTCTTGATATCATCGACCTGCTTTTTCCAAGACCCGTCGCTGGACTCGCCGTTTTCTTTCGCCATTTCGCACCGGGGCGGGGGTGAAGAAACGAGAAGGCGCAGCCGGAGGATCAGCACAGCCGCCTCACCAAAAAACAGAAAGGAAAACTAGTGCAGTTCTGTGTCTCGCCAAGGGGCTTCCTGGCCGTTTGTCAGCGCAGACTATCGTGCTTCCTCAGCCCATGCATGCACCCAGGCTAGCCCGAGGAGGGGAGCTGTGTCCAACCCCGAGAGGTTATTTGACTAATCTGTTTAACGTAGCAAATCCCGAGTCTGAGCTTCACCGCTGTTCAGCTCACTGTGACGGGGAAACACAGGCTCTCCCCATCCTCCTTCCCTGGCAGGTTTCAGTCAGTGTCAGGCGGCGACGCGGGGAGCTGGGGTCGGGCTACTTGCGGAGACACTTGGCCGGCGCATCCGAGCTGCTTTGCCATCGACTCACATCGACCGCCCTGGTTGTTATAGCAATCGGAGGAGTGGGAGGTTGCTGCTCCCACCTATCTATCTGACAGCGTGCACAGTGAACGATGCAAGTGTTCGCATTGCACCAAATCACCGGCCCCGTCGAAACTCCGCTGGACTGGTCGGTGTCAGGTTCGGTCTCAGCTGAAATGGCCCACGTCTTCAGATTAAACCCGTGGCGTTGTCACACAAACCGATGCTTTCATTTTAAAATGTATTGAAATACAACTGCAGGGGCGAACATAGGAGTTATGGGGGCTCGTGTAGCAGGTGACCCTCACCCCCCTTCACTACGTTTAAGATGTCAAACTGCTCCGAAGTCAGCAAAAATGTACACCGGGTTGTGAACCGTGCAGAGTGGGGTGTTTGCTGGTGCACCATTACACAAATGCTAAAAAATAGAGCATAAAAGCAGAGACAAAGACACAGATGTGTTGTACTGATCAGTCCAGCCCTCATCTTCCTCACATCTGGCTCCAGCTAACTACAGCACTTCAGGGCTGCTTCGCCCACCATCTTAGGCCTACATGGTATGCTTCTCATTATTAAACCCTGAGGCAGCAGCTGTGACTGCTGCTGACTCACTTCACATAAACAACAACGTTTGGGAAATGTAAAGGTATGGCTGAAAATCTCAGAGAGAGGAAGTTGAAATCAGAAAAGCCCAAAATGCTTTCAATTTGAAATACAATGCTACATCCAAGTACCATGACTTTTAATTTTTGTATGTTTACATATAATTTTCTATAGCTCAGTTTTCACAATTCTAATTTTGACATTTTATTGATAAAATGAATAACTGATGAATCAGGAAAACAACCAGTAGATCAGATGGTAGTTTTTCTCCATAACTTTGGCTCAATTACCTGATATTTGCTCCATTTGCTGAAAAGTGTTTTTTTTTTTTTTTTTTTTTTTTGTAGGAAGGACAAAAACCATAAGAATGCTTTGAGAATGCTAGTAATGTTTAAGAAAAGAGCCAAAGCTACAGATAAATACTCTAACAATAAGTTATTTGCTGCTCTAGTGTAAAGACTCCAAAATCACAACTTGTGCAAACATCTACTGCAGCTGTTTTTTTCTCTGTTGCCTGTTAACGGTTTTGTGTATTTGTTTGTTTTGAGGCTTTTTTTCCTATCTCAGTTGAGAGTCTGGAGGATAAAATGTCATGCTATACAGGATGTAAACCTCTTTGACACTCAAGGGGAAACTATTACTCATTTTGTCAAGTACCAGAGGGACCTTTTTCCAAAACCTAGGGGGCAAAACAGTGGAATTATCATTGTTTAGAAGAAATGCCTTTGATGCAGTGTTCTGATTTAAGTGCTATTATTTTAATCAGTAGCTCTACAAGAGACTTGATAGTTAATTTCACCCATGTTTTATTTATTTGCTTGATTTTTGGCTCTAGTACAGTCAGATACCCAATCTTAGTCCCACTATATACCGATTGCAAACTAGGAAACAGACATCTCTGAGTGTACTAGACTTTTTTAAATCAGCAAACCACTGACAATAATTGATATGTAATGTGTCAAAGAACGGGTGAGAATTCCTGTGGACACTCAGCATTCATGTTAAGTGCTGTTTGTTCATTATTTGGGCCCAAAGAGACGAGGACAGCGACTCAGAAGTCTAGACCCAGACTGAATAACTTATTCAGGTAAATGTACTGTTACAAAACATTATACTCAGTAAAATCATATTTTTGTTAGAAACAAAAACAAAACAAAAACAGCTTGAGGACCAGTTACTCGGTCACCACAAAAGCATCTATGCTAACCAAACTTTGGATCGAATCATTTAATCGGACAAAGTGTTAAATACATGTCCTCTCTTTCACGTTAATGTTAAACACATTATGTTGAACTGAATCTGCGTTTAGGCAAAAAGAAACATGGTGCACAAATGTGAAAATAGATTTATTTGAAAATATTTCCGCTTGAAAATTCAGAACAGTTTATTTACATTAGCCCTTTAATGCTATAAATTTTTTTTTAATTCAAGTCTTGGTTTAAACCTTGAGGAAATAGAAATAATTAAGTTTTTCTTAACCCAAATTTGTACCATGAAATGTATAATTGGTACCTAACTCATGGCAGGATAAACATTTAGCAGTCAATTTCTTTCTTCAGAGAAAGTTTAATGTCCTGAAATGTAACGTGAAATCCAGTTAAAGATCTCCCTTTTTTATATAAACAATTCAAGGATAATGCTCTGATATTTCCAGCAAGTTGTTCACTTTATGTACATCCACTTTGTCTAAAGGTCTTGTGTATCTGCTGTGCATTAGCAATAGTAGGAAGACCACAGCGCGTACAGTATGTAGTGTAGTACTGAGGTTTGTGTACTGCTTATTTTGGTTCCCAGTCTTGTTGAGTCTTAGGAGAAGGTTGCGGTGAGGATGGCCTCTTGTTGCTGGTGATGGAGGATCCCGATACCCACAGCGGGGGCAGGCAGAGCAGGTCGGCTGACTACCCGGAGCTGAGGAGGACAGAGGAGCCAGCGTTGTGTGTTCAGTACCAACAAATCATTGACAAACTATTAGGCATCATTTCAAATGTCGCTCACCTTGCAGGCCAGCTGCTTCTCAAACCTGGGTGCTACAAAAGACCAGGGGCCCATGTTCTGAGGCTCCTCCTGACTCCAAATAAACTCTGTGGGGAAAGTACCATCGCTTGAGTTCATGGTGTTATCATGTCTTTTTTGTCCCTGACATCCAGTCTTAGCCGACAGTATCATCGAGTGACTGGTTCTTTCAGTGTTTGTTTATTTAGAGGAAAATGATTTTTCTTCCATTTACTTGTTCATAAATCCAGTGGGAGCAAAGTCAAAGGTCCCTGCTCAGTTTCACTGAAGATTAAAAGCCTAAAAATAAAACCAGGCATCTTTAGTTTTATTTATGAATTAATTTTAACATCAGGACAATTCAATAAAATGTGTTAAAGGAAGGACTAATGTCTCAGAAAGACCTAGAAACATTTCTTCATGGGTTTATTTTTAGTAGGACAGACTACTGTTATGGTGTCTTTGTAGATTTCTCAAAAAAAGCACAGTTAGGAGGATTAAAACAAAACAGGGCAAAGCAGCCTTTCATTTCTCTGCTCTACATTTATATCTGGAACAAACTTCCCAAATATCAGCTTTTTTAAAACATACTTGTATGTCTATTATTATTATTATTTATTCTTTTTGTACCATTCCTGTTAACATGTATTCTCCTTCCCACTGTCTTTTAAATGTCAAAACGCTTTTAAACTTAACAGAAGAACCAACATAAAGGACAATGTGGGGAAACTGCTTCACAAATAAACTTCTCCTTCTTTCTTGTACATCAGTCACACAGACAAAGACACCATTCAATAATGTAACAGAGGGAAGTCATTACATATGCAAAATACAGGAAACGTGTGTCAGCAAAGAGGAGCAGTGGACACAGTCTACACATGTGGTCTAAAATACATTACCATCAACACATAGCTGTGCTTTTGGCACAAGCCATTTAAAAACATATGCAAAATAATAACTGGGTGAAAAAAAAAAAAACAGATACTGAAAATAACCGATGATAAAACAGTTACCAACAGCCTTAAATCACATATTTATTAGCAACAGCACATTTGTATTTACTGTGGTGTTGCTGTATTGGCTGTTAATGTGTCTACATGTGTTTCTACCAATAGTTTCTTGATATAAAGGGCAGGAATAATAACTTGGGTAAAGCTGCACTGAAATGTTCACACAGAATGAAGACAAATTTGGTTTATGAAAAGTGTTAATTAAGCTCTGGTTTGTTTGTAGTATGTAGCAGTGCAGCAACCAAAACAAAACTTAGAAATTAATGTAAAGAAATGACTCGGATCAAAGCAAACAAACTGATTTATGAAGTCATTATGTCTGCGAGCAGGACAGGTGGTGCCGTGTTATCTGGACAGCAGAGGCCACATACCTTTGGCACTGGGGTACTTTCCGAGCTCCTGCTGCAGAGCCTCCAGTGGGAACGGACACAGCTCCTCCACTCGGATGAGCGCTGTGTTCTGGTTGGCTGCTGACGCCTCCCTCTGTTTCAGAAGGGCATAGTAATGCTTCCCTGAGCACAGCACCACCCTCTGGACGCTGCATGGAACAAGAATAAATGACTGATGTGCAAGTTATTTAGACAATGCTTCTGAACCAAGTGTCTTCCCAGTTTAAGCCAGTGTTATTAAGGGCTATTCAAAACATCATATGAAAAAGCTCTTGGTTAGGAAACTATTCCCTGAGCACTGCCTTAATGAGCTTTGAAGCCCTGGAATTTAAATTATTAAGGACATCATTAGAAAAGTCTGAGTTTTAATATTAGTAAAATTAAGTTGTGAAGTCAGTACCTTTGTGTTGAGACTGAAGCATCACCTAACACTGGCCTGAAAGATGTTCCTGGTGCCAATTCAGTTATACTGGACACCGCCCCCTGAAAAATACATATTATTCAGCCACTTGGATACAAATATCTGTAAAAGGTTGAAGATGAATTGTTAAAGAATATTCCTGACAGTGTCTACAGTGCCTACAGGAAATCTCAGCAGTGTCTTGGGTCCAACCACAATGAGAGGTTTGCGGAAGTTACGGATCATCTGTCGTCTCAGCAGGTGGAAGTACTGAGCCGGAGTGGTGGGGTTGACCACAGCCATGTTCACGGTGTCGCCATCCACACCCTCCTCTTTACTGTCACACATCTTAGAGACAAAAGAAGACAAAATAGAAATCAGTTACAGTTCAGGTAACACATTACCAGCTAGAACGCTGCTGCGGAGCACTTCAAGCATTAAGTCCAGAAACATCTGGTAGCACCTTGTAGATGGGCAGTCTCTGTAGCAGGACATGGATGTAATGACATTCAGCTGCAGACTTGCCGATACTAAGTGAGTAAGGACAGAGATGAAGCCCTAAAAATCTAAAAAAAAATGGGCCTATTGTTTAATCATTTTTTGCATGAACTAGTTCATCCTCCCCCTTTAAAATATCTCAGTGAAGTGGAAAAAAGAAAGAAGGAGTTTTAAATTACAAAGATGCAACTATGGAACATACACACTCGATTTGTTTAACTCAGACAGCTGAAGCTTCATATTATCCTCAGATGAATGTTTGACTACATTTTTGCACAGAACAAGGGATGAAAAACTGTGAACACCCAACCTTTTCGTGCGTTAGCAAAATATCTCAGTGTCATTCAAATAAGAGTGAAAAGTTAACCTCTGCACAGCATGAAGTAAAACATTCAACTTCTCAGGTGTTTTTTGGTACATTATTAAACAACAACCAATGAATTTGCAAGAGTGGAACGTGTAGTTATGTTCCGTTCATTTCATTTGGTGACAGAGAACACTGTGTTGACAACGTATCAATATCACAACATATCAATTAAGTGTGTGTTTAATTTGCTGAATGACAGACTGGCTGATGTGAGCTGCCCATATTTGTTTGGTTTTCTGAAACTACAGACCTGCAGGAAGCGCTCCATGCGGCAGGATGAGTGTTCAGGTCCGGCTCCATCGTAGCCATGAGGCAACAGAATCACCATCCCACACTGTAGCAGCCATTTGGCTTCACCTGGGGATACAACAGTTTTGCAGAGATTTTTCAAAAAATATAACATAATGCGAGTCATGGTGAATCTGTTGATGAGCCAGGAGTTTACCTCCAGAGATGAAGGTATCAAAGATGATCTGCGCTCCGTTGAAAAAATCTCCAAACTGAGCCTCCCAGATGAGAAGGAGCTTCGGCTGTGCGATACTCATACCGTACTCAAATCCGAGCACCGCCTCCTCAGACAGCGGGCTGTTGCACACCTGAACACACACAGAGGTGGTGTAAAAACATGATCCAGACACTGATGGTTTCATCTACTTTATAAGAGCGCTACCTCCAGGAAAGCTGTCTGCTCAGGGCTGATGTTATTGAGAGGGATGTACGTGTCATTGGTGTCCTGACACACCACCATGGCATGTCGCTGACTAAATGTGCCTCTTCCAACATCTTGTCCGCTGATTCGAATATTAAAGCCTGTAATAACAAATAATTTGAAATCTACAAATCTATATCATGACAACCACAAAATGCAATGATCCTCCATGCACTTATTAGATCTGAAGTCATTATTTCATTGACGCACCAACCTTGGCAGAGGAGAGAGCCAAATGCCAGGGCCTCTGCTGTGGACCAGTCCAGTTTGGTTCCCTCTTCCAACTTGTGCAACCGAGCCTGAGTTCACATAGGAGGAAGTCTCATCATCAAGCTGCTGCCATGTGAACAAAAGATAATCCAATAGAAATGAGAAACATGGCGGCCATACCTGTGCATGAGTTTTTCCAAGATGGCTGTGCAGGTGAATTTCCTCAGGGATTTCTACAGATTTTGCTCCAACAAACTGCAGCAGAGGAACAGGGACGCCCGTGTCCCAGGTAGTGACTCTGGCCTGGGGTTCGACCAGATCTCCCCAGCGGCCCTGCAGGTTGGTGGGTGGGGGGCTATACAGGGTCATGTTGGCCAGCTTGTCGTTGAGCATGCCATAGTATTTGGACTTGAGGTCATCACGCTCAGCATCAGTCAATAGACCCTCAGAGATCAGCTGGTCTGAGTAGGAGTCAGGCACACTCCTACGGGACCTGCAAAGAAGCAACAACGTGACATCACCAGCATTCACCACACACCTTCTTTCTGTGTCAACTCTGTTGCTTTGGTTAGAGCCCAAACAGGAAACCTCTGCACAATGCAAAGATGAGCAGGTCATCACCATCGCTCTGTGACTGCTATAAAACTATTAAGTGAAAGCAACTATTGAGGAACTGTTACAAACTGGGATCAAAACTACATTTGCTTTTTTTGATCAGTATTCACTGTGCTGTAGTAGTCAGTCCTAAAACCCAGAACTGAGTTAGTTCTTTTTGTACATCTGGTTCCCTCGCTCCTAAAGTCAGTAGGTTTTCTGAATGGATTTTTAGTAAAGTGCCTGTAAGGTCTGTGGTTAACACACGGTCAAGGGGATTTTCCTGTTTTATTCTATGTCATAAAATAAGTCAGTAAACACCAACTTGTTATTTTTAAGCTTTTACTGTATCTTAAAAATATCATTGCTATCAAGTGGCTAAATGAGACAGAGACTCACCTCCTCACTCGCCTGTCTTTACTGTCTTTACAGCTTTATTGTGTTTACCTGCAAACTATTCTAACTGACAGCCACAATCACTACCTTGACCGGGTCATGCTAACAGAAAAGAATTTTGTAGAAAAGGTAAGTGAACTAAATCAAAATCATAAGCTGGAAGCCTTGGTAGTGATGCCGAGGTCACAGGACAGTGGTGTAGTTCCATAATCCCAAAGCCTGTGAAAAATCCCACTGGTTCCACTAATTCCAGTAAATATATGCTAAAATCACTTTTGAAGTGATGGTGAAAATGTGTTGACACAAAGAGAACAAGCTGGATTTTACTGACCGGATTATCTTGTACATGGCCGGGTTGGTGAAGAAAGGCTCGTCCAGTTCGTTGTGGCCCCACTGACGATAGCAGATCAGATCCAGGATCACGTCTTTCCTGAAATGCCGCTGGTAGTCCACAGCTAGCCGAGTGGCTCGCAGTACGTCCTCTGCATGATCTCCATTTACATGGATCACTGCACAGTTCACCATCTTACCTTTGGTACAAATGTTTCTGATTATACCACAGTCTCATTTTTCTACAAACAAAATCTGTAACATTAAAGATTTATCTGATAACTGCTGTTAGTGAGTTTCACTGACCGACATCACTACAGTACAAAGATGATCTCCCCCTCTTTGACGGAGTGGTGTAACCAACTTGGTTGTTCACAATGAGGTGGATGCTCCCACCAACTCTATAGTGAGGGAGGTTTGAGAGTGTCAAAGTTTCTGGAACAATTCCTTGACCAGTGAAAGAGCCATCACCATGGACCTGTGGAGATGAGAACAGCAGACATTGTCTCAAAGTTTTAGCAGCTATTAAAATTTGTAGCATAGCTTTACATTGCGCTCTTATATTCAGTCGATCTACCAGTCTGAACAGAGAACGTGAACAGCTCTAACTTGCCCAGTGAGCGTTGTTATCATCTGATCAGTGTTGTTTAAAGAAAATGTCAACTTCTAAAAAAAAAAAAAAAAAAACAGAAGGCGTACACCTCTGCCAATGCTGCAAATCATTAAATTCAGTGTTCAAGTTGTGATCGTAATATCCACAGTTTGTGTCTGTCCAGCGATCTTTGTTGAATTTTATCCCACAACTCTCTCCTCTCATTACTAGCTCTGTACTAGGTTTTTAATAAAGGCAAACATGTCAAAAAGAAAATGTTTTAAAAAGTCCAATATGCATCAAAATATAGTGATGAGACAGATGTGCCAGAAAAGGAGCAAACTAAATTCTCTGTTAAGATATGGTTTATACTGTGCCTACAGGTATGTGCCAAAAAATGAGAATATCAAGGAAAAGTCCATTTATTTCAATAATTTGTTTCAAAAAGTGAAACTTGTATATTAGTTCACTGCACACAAAGTGAAATATTTCAAGCCTTTATTTGTTTCAATTTTGATGATTATGGATTAAAGACAAAAAAAACCCCAAATCCAGTATTTCACAAAATTAGAATATCATGACAAAGTTCAACATTGTAGGCTCCCTGTGTCCCAATCTAGTCAGCTAATTAATGCAAAACACCTGCAAAGGTTTCCTCAGCCTTGAAATTGTCTCAGTCTGGCTTAGTAGGCTTCAGAATCATGGGGAAGACTGCTGACTTGACGGTTGTGCAGACGACCATCACTGACACCCTCCATAAGGAGGAAAAGTCTCAAAAGGCAATTGCAAAAGAAGCTGGATGCTCACAGAGCGCAGTATCAAAGTATATTAACAGAGTGTTAAGAAGAAGGGAAGAATGTGGCCGGAAAAGGTGCACAAGTGACAGGGATGACCGCAGCCTTGAGAGGATTGTCAAGCAAGGGCGATTCAGGAATCTGGGGGAGCTTCATAAGGAGTGGACTGAGGCTGGTGTCAGTGCATCAAGAACCACCACATACAGACGTCTGCATGACATGGGCTACAGCTGTAGAATTCCATGCGTCAAGCCACTCCTGAACCAAAAACAACGTCAGAAGCGTCTGTGCTTGGCTAAGGAGAAACAGTACTGGTCTGTTGCCCAGTGGTCCCAAGTCCTGTTTTCAGATGAAAGCATATTCTGCATTTCATTTGGAAATCAAGGTCCCAGAGTCTGGAGGAAGACCGGAGAGGCACAAAAGTCAAGCTGCTTAAAGTCCAGTGTGAAGTTTCCACAGTCAGTGATGGTTTGGGGAGCCATGTCATCTGCTGGTGTGGGTCCATTGTCTTTTATCAAGTCCACAGTCAACGCAGCTGTCTACCAGGAAATTCTAGAGCACTTCATGCTTCCCGCTGCCGACAAGCTTTTTGGAGCTGAAGATTTTATTTTCCAGCAGGATTTGGCACCTGCCCACACAGCCAAAACTACCAGTACCTGGTTTAATAGCCATGGAATAACTGTACTTGATTGGCCGGCAAACTCGCCTGACCTCATTGCCATTGAAAATCTATGGGGTATTGTCAAGAGGAAGATGAGGGAACACAGACCCCGAAATGCAGACAAGCTGAAGGCCAATCAAAGCAACTTGGGCTACCATAACACCTCAACTGTGTCAAAGGCTGATCGCCTCCATGCCACGTCGCCTTGATGCAGTAATTAATGCAAAAGGAGGCCCAACAAAGTACTGAGGACATAATACAGTACATTAACACACTTTTCAGAAGGCCAACATGTGTTTAAGATCCTTTTTTTTATTGGTCACATGAAATATTCTAATTTTGTGAAATGCTGGATTTGGGTTTTTTTTGTCTTTAATCCATAATCATCAAAATTGAAACAAATAAAGGTTTGAAATATTTCACTTTGTGTGCAGTGAACTAATATAACATATAAGTTTCACTTTTTGAAACAAATTATTGAAATAAATAGACTTTTCCTTGATATTCTAATGTTTTGGCACATACCTGTAGATATGCACCTGGATCAGGGAACACAATACAATCACTCTATCAACCAAATTTCATTTCAATGTGATTGCATTTAAAATTTAGCACTCCACTGTATTTATGTCATCCAACAGATATACAATGAACCTGTTAATTTAATCTTCACCTTTTGTAAAAAACAGTTTGGTTGCATGTGCAGTAAATATTAGTTGTTGTGAGCCAGTACCTGCAGACAGATGACTTTGTCCCCTGGCTGGGCATCGTCCTCAGATGAATAGTCTCCTTCTTTTCTGAGCTGCTGCATGGCTCGTGTTTTGCCCTGAGCCGTGGGGTTGATCGCTTCAAGGTGAGATGGGTTGGGTAGCAGGGTCACATGAAGAGGGTGCTGGGACCCAAAATCCAACTCCACTGAGGAGGTGAGGTGGGAGAGGACGTCACCGATGGCAGGAGAGGTGTCAGGGAACTCGCTGAGGCCACTCATTTTACGGAACATGAGCTGGATGTGAAAAGGACACATGTGGAAAAACTGTGTTTTTTAGGTTTTCTCACTCGTTTCCTCTTTGGCAGCTGTCTGTGACTTTATGTTGATGTGTGTGACTGATTACAGTGGTGCAAAGTAATCCAATCTTGTCAGGTCATAGATCATTTGAAAATAGGTGTCTTATTAAATGTCTAGGGCCATCTAACCTCTGGTGGGAACTTCAACAGGCCTGTCAGGAGGTTCAGTCGGCCTCTGTGGGGCATGCCAATGACAATGTCAGTGACTCCGCTGTGGGCTGACTGGTGGAAAAGCTCATAGAAAAAGCCCATCATGCTCTCTGCTCCCTCTCCTCCATAACGTTTCACAGTAGCAAACTTGGTGGCCATGAAGTGGTCAAACTCCTACAGAAAAGAAAAAAAAAAAAAAAAGCTGCATACAAATGTCATCATACAAATGTAACAAAATGTGTCAAATGGTATGGTACATTTGATCACACTGTATATGGTTTTCTTCTCCTTCTTCCTCCTTGGACTCACCTGAGACTCCAGCATGATTTTGGCAAGCAGCCTCCTCTCCTCAGCCGAGAAACTCTTCCCTTTAAGCTCCTCAAACCGGTTAGCAAACCACTCCCTCTCCTCCAGGCTGCTCAGCTGGCTGGTCTCCACTGACAGGTAACTACAGTAGGTATCTTCCAGGTAGGCCTGAACCTCTTCCACTGAAGCCTCGGCCTTACCAAAGTGCTGCAGCCCTACAGAAACACATCAAAGACTTTTTATTGTCAATTCACTATATGTGCAGGACATACAGAAAAATAGAAATACTGTTTCTCTCCCCCTAATATTGAACGGCCATACCATTTAAGAAACTAAAACAGAATAAAAGTAGAATAAACACAGAATAAATAAAATATGAAAACTTAAAGTAATTAGGATTAAGTAAATGGCACAACCTAATGGGCTATGAAGAAACTCAAAGCCATGTGCAAACAGTGACTGTGTGCCAAAGACAAAGGAGGAAGAGGAATGACAAGTGAAAGTACCTGCTTACTGACATACTTTTACTCAATTAAATGTTGTGCTTTTCATACTACTACTACAACCACTAGTAGAGTTATACTCTTTACTACATTTCAGCTGAAGTTACTGATTATTTTTCAGATTACTTTACATAAAAAGTATGGGCATCTATAAAATACATTTTATAAAAAGAAATAGACTGCCTACAACAGTAAAATGCTACTTACACATTACTGCATCAGCAATATGAATAAATAGTATAATACTCACAGGAGCCACATGATGCGGAATCCATTTATGTTTAATATCTAAAGTAGATTTAGCTAATAATACTTTTACCTACCCCTCAGTAAGATTCTGAATACTTTGAATGAATACTAGGACTGACACTTGAGGCCTGAGGTCTCCCATATGCCTGCTCAGTAAAATAAACCTACGAGTTTATGCTGCATGTGTGAGAACACATAATTCACAGGGGAAAATAATATGTGTTCATTATCCCAATTTCTGTAGTTTTACACCCACAGCTGTTATTTACCTGAGGTCCTGAGTTGTCCTCTTATGATACCAGTCAGCATGTTTATCTCCGGGACACTGTCATCAACAGGCTTTTGCGACAGTAAAGGATTAATTTTAGCTGCGTGGTGTCCATGTGCTCTGTATGCCTCCACCAGACGGGCAAGACCATGATCTGAGCATAAAGCAAAGTAACAGACCGCTGTCAGGATGCTGGGTCCTCAATTACACCTCAATGTGGATCAACACCGAGCCATTAAAATAGGATGCTAATGAGTTCAAGTTCAAGTTGTTTCCCTGTACAATGAAATTCCTACTTTGCCGTCCACATGAATGCCACAAAATACAAATGAACTATAAAGTAGATAAGTAACAAAATCTAAAGCACTTTAAGCAGCAAATGCAGCAATATAATAAAAATATATAAGAATATATCAGAGAATATATGCTACATGGGAGCAGCATGTGCAGCTGTCAACAATCAGTGTGCAATTATGCATGTGCAAACTGAGAATGCGGTATTTGACAAACGTATAAAATGAATGCAAAAATAAGAATAGCTGTACAAAAGACGAATACTCCAAACCTTCTTCTCGGGTTGTCCATGTTGGAAATTAGCGCCATACTAACCTTGATTTAGAGCAGCAATGCGGTCGTTCTGCAACTTGAGGTCCCTGTCTATCTGTTTGGGTCGGTATCCATAAACACCTTTCTTGGTGTGGTAACAGCAACCGACAATCTTCCGATAGACGCTCGGTGCCGGTCTTCTCAACGAGTTTTTCAGGAAAAGTACGGTGGACATAATTAAAAGTGTAAAGCGTTACGCTCACATATAGCAAGCTACACAACAGCTGCCATACTTCCGAGAGCAAGACATTATGGGAGGAAACGCCGCATCGGAATCTGATTGGTTGAAATTCTTGCCCTACAATCAATAGTCATAACACTATTATTATTATAAAATCTCTTTAGTTTTTCTTACTTTTGTCTCGCATTTTTAAGCACATGATTTGTATTTGCAGCGTCCAAACGTACATTTTACAGCTACAGAGCGGTTATGGTTAACAGCAACAATCTTTCGCCAGAAGGGTCCACGATATGAGCCATTAAGATAGAAGAGTTGCGACATTGAGAGGGCAAAAATGGCAGCAGGTCACGTGGTTCGTGCAGCTTCAAATAGTTCCAGTCATTATTTTATGTAGGGAACAGCAGGATTTATCAGTAATTAGTATTTTTAATGACTTGTACAACCTTTCAAACGAACTGAACATGATCCACCATTGCTGCAAAAAGCGGTCGAGTCAACGGAGATGTCGTCACTCTCCTTCTTATTCCACTCTTCCAAAGATCGACTACACATGGCGGGGCTTCTGAGATGCGTCCTACCGGCCGCCATATTGCCTCGGGCAGTCTGGACGTTCTGACCAGATCAAACAGTGGAAAACAACAGGCTTTTTAGATGTTCTAACAGAATAAATGCAAAAATCAAGTAACAGGGAACAACATTTGACAAAACAATTAAATAACCTGATCTTCAAGCAATAATGATATATCTGTATATAAATGTCACATCAGTGTACTGATAATGAAAAGTTGTTGGTTACAGCCTTAATCCTATAATGGAAAAATAGCCTAACCATGCCTGAGGTTTTCTGTTGATTACATAGTGCTAAAATGAAATTTTGAGTTGGGGTCACTTTTCCCCTGTATTCTGAACATTGTCTAAGTAAAGACTTAAAATAAATTCCACCTTGTATTTTGTACATTGGAAAGCCCCAGACTGTGACCTTGTGATGGTTCCAATGAATTCAAACATTCTATTTCCAGTTTTACATGTTACAAATGTTGGCCTTTGGTTCAGACACTTCTGAACATCTCCTTGCATTATTCCCTGTCAAAATACTCTACGCAAGACATATACAGTACATCAAACTAATGAACAAGTGGATCTCGTTGCAACTCCAGTGAAACAATTTGCTATCTAATAAGGATTGTGGTAGGCTTTATTTATTGACTCGTGCAGCCTAAATGAAACGCATTTAGCAATCATCTCTGAAATTATCTCAGCCTCCCCACATACAGTGCATTAGCACAGGGAATAATGACATCCCACTGTGTTTTGACAACTGAGACATAGAAACTGCTAAATGTTTCCATGTAACCATCTTGAGGAACAATTCGGCCCTGAAATATTAAAATATTTTCCATGTTCTGGCTGGTTGGTCCTTTTGTAGCCTTGCCCATCATGTTTTAATCTATCCTAACGATCTCTCCAGCTACACTTGCCATTCCATACAGATGCAACAACAGAGGGGGAATGTATAGTATAAGATACAGCTTCTCCTCTCACACTGGTGTCATCACACCATGATCCAATACAGCAGATCTTGTGTCTTGGTGAAAGGGTGAGCTCTTCATCTTCATAAAAACACTCCATGGTTTCCTTTAGTTTTCTGCCTCTATGTTGCTAGTTATGTTGTCTTCCTACAGATGGCAATTAAGGCAGTTACAGCTAATGATTCAACTTAACCCTAGCAACATCTGTTTTCACACACACACACTCATTTATCAGGAAAACATTTAAATGCAGATTCATAAATATCAGACCCAGTTTTATTTTTAAAAACTGAACCCAAGTAATCATCTGCACCATACTACACCCCATCAGTCACCTTGGCATTTACAACAGCACCACAACCTGCTCCCCTCAAATTTGTTGCTGCTCAAATAGAAGCAAAGAGAAGCACAACAAAGAAACAAGTTAGCGAGACATGACAGACTAGGGGGAGGGAGGGATGGTTTGTAAAATGTCTTTACAACACTGGACAAGCACAACACACAAAGACGCACAGTCCATATTAGGGGAAATGGTTTAATTTGGAGACAGAAGCAAAGAAACACACCACACATGAACAAACATTGACCAAAAAAGTCTTTTGGCTACACACTCCACTATGGGGAAAAAACAGAAAACTCTACACAAGTAAAAAGCAAGGCTCAAACTAAACATAGTAACTCTTCAACTAAGACAATTATCCACACAAGTTGTCGAAATCCTGATGACCATTAAACTAGGTGGACAGCACAAATACTAACATGAAACTTACCACGATTTAGAGCCCCCCCCCCCCCAATGGAAACTGATTAACGGAGAGAGAAACATGTAGAGATCAAATCAGGCGTCTTTTAGAGACAGAAATTTAAAATAAAATAAAAAAAAATTGCTTGACACAACCAAGAGGCCAGACTCGAGACCTGATCAAGGTGAGGCCACATTGAGAGGCCAGACAATTTTTTCCAATATAGATTTTTTTTCCTTTAATTTCCAATATAAAAAGCTTCACTGGTACAAAATACATATGAACAACCAGTTGTAGAAATTGGAAAGCCCATGTATGTCTTTTTCAAATCCCGCCCAGTTTCCAAAAAACAAAACAAAACAACAACAAAACAAAAAATGGATGACTGAAAAGGGGCAGGGGGAGAAAATAAACTATTTTGTGTATAATACAGATCACATCAAGATGCACCCACTTTGGCTTTCATCAAGACAAGACAAAATATCTATTAAATTAGTGGAACATGAACCGATTATCAAACAAAAATTTTTTCCCCTCTTCTTTTGAATCAAGACAATATCTATAGAGATGCAAAGCTACCACACTGTCAAAAATAGCACTTCAGAATATGAAAACAGAAGAAAGTGATTGTTAGAGCTTGAATGGGATTTGTGATGGAAGCCCCTGAAGTGAGTCAAGTTCCTGTACATTGTGCTTTTTAAAAACTCATTCACAGGTAACACTTCACCATACACTGCACCACCCCAGACCTGAAAGCATTTCAGTGTTTGACAGATGATTTTCTCACTTAGCACGGCACCCAAGTCAACTTCTGCTTGAGATGTAGCTTGTTTTTGACTTTAATAAAATCAGAACAAATTCCCTAGCACATCTGATCACCAGTCATTTGTATCTCAAAGTGTTACAGCACGTTTACACTCATTAAGAGGTTTAATTTTCCAATGCAGTTTATCTACAATTTTTAAACCAACTGTTCAAACTGGGTATATCACACACACACACCCACACCCACACCAATAACTTAAAGTGGGGGTACGCAAGTGAAAAGATCTTTAATGATCAAAAAACAAACAAACAAAACAAAGGCAAACTGCAGCAATCTCTAAACCAAGGCCTAATAAGGATGTGTAGGCAGTTTCTAGACGTATATATGGCACTTTGAATATTGTATTGCATTTGGATAGAAAAACACACTGTAAAACGCACATGCCCATATTAAAAAGTGAAAGCAGTGGTGCCTTGAAAATTTTGGGATCATAAACACAACATTCTGCAAGAGTGACTAGTTCTGACAATTGCGCTTCGAGTTTCCTTACAAAACCAACACTTCTCACAAGCACCGTTTCAAATCTGGCAACTTATTTTTTTGGGAATAACTATGTATTTTGAGAAATGGGAAAAAACAAAACCCAAAAAGAAAAATGTTATATGGTGACAACTATGCATTTGTGTTATAGTGTATACCGAGTTTCTCACACAAAAAACCCCTGAGTTGACAACTCTTTAGCGCCACCAGGTACGCAGTTTTAGGGAACCCTTAATTGAGGGGTGGTTGTTTTGCCAGGGGTGTAACAACTTTTAGTACAGAAAAAATAACACCCCGATTAAAAAAGTGTAAACTCTGTGCTGAAAAAATGGAATGTATTTGTAAACCAACACTGCTGCGGTGGATTTAGTAGTGTTAGTGTGTGGTGCATTGTGTACAACTGAAAGCAGCAAGGCAGGGAAGAGAGAAAAAAAAAAAAAAAAAAAAAAAAAAAAAAATGTTCATAAAATGAGACCCACAGGCTGTGTGTAATCTCTTCTTCAGGGGCTCCCACATTTGCAATCACAGAACATGTCTTGTGGTGCACGCGCATGTGTGTAAAGAAAACCAGGTAACATTTTAAGAATGCAAAATAAAAATAAAAAAAATTAATTGACTGACACATGGGCACCAACGCCAAAATAAAATGGACAAAAACAAAAGACTGTGTGGCATTAGACTTTGTAAATCATCTTTCAACAAACTAAACCAAAGTGAAACATCCATTAATTAAAATATTGAGAAATTCACAGAAAGTCAAGATGTACCGTGGAAGTTTAACAACTGTTTGGGGAGGGGGGGGGGCAATAACCCCAAAAACTCTACACACAAAATGTAACCTTAAAAAAAAATTTCCTAGAAGCTGAAATTAATGCAGAATTCTGACTCAAAGAATTAATTTACTAGAAATGACCCACGATTGGTCTTGCTGATTAAACTCATTTTAGTCCTCTTTAAAATGCAATACACTGAAGACTCCCCCAACACAGATGACATAACATAATCTACAAAACACCCAAGGTTTTGCCTGGGTTTTGTTAGTTAAACCTCTATAGATTCAATGGTATAAAATATAGGTAATCTAAGTGTGCATTTAAACCACAGATTGTCTATTTGTGAATCAGTTCTAAAAAAGTTGACTCATGTAGGTAGTCATTTCTCCAAAGAGAGCAATGTACCTTTTTGTGCCATCATTCGTTCAAAAAAAACAAAAACAAAAAAGGTAAATACACTGGATATTTTTGTAAATGAAAATATTTTAAACAGCCTTGGTGTAAATCTTCACACTGCCTGCAAAATGTAGAGATCACTACAGAGTGCTGAGAGGGGATTCACTGGTCAGACTTTCGAAAGTGTTGGAAAGTGGTATGAAGCTTTTTTTTATTTATTTTTTTTTAAACAAGCCAACATATTGCTAATGGCACTAAATAGCACAGCTGTGTGCCAATCCCTGTAATCAACTTTCAAGTGAACTTTACTGAGAGAGGTAAAAAGAAAGCAACATAAAAAAAGCAAAATTAAAAAGAAATCCCACAGGTTTTTAAAACATTTGCAAAAACAAAAAAAAAAAAGGTCTTAAATGAATTCAACGTAGGTGTGTTTTCACATTGATTTACTTGACCTCTCTCCCACCTGTCACATTTCTATACAGGAAAAAAAAAATGCATGCAGAAAAATCAGGTTGAGCTAAGGTCAGTGGGTGGCCAGGTATTGGTCAGGCGAGCTTAGAGAGACATCACAGACAATGGTGGGATGATGAGGCCAGGAGTTTGGCTTGGCTGTCAACATCATGAAGACATGCTAGGCTAATGATGAGCAAACAGGCATGGAGATTTGTTCTAAAAAAGACAAAACACAAAAGGAAGAGGAGAGAGAGAGAGAGAGAGAGAGGGGGAGAGAGAGAGAGAGAGAGAGAGAGAGAGAAAGACAAAGAGGAGATAAGAGAAAGTTAGGGGCACAGCGCAAGAACAGTTTAGCCATGAGGCACAAAAACCAACAAGAACAATGCCAATCACCACATACAGTCAGGACAAAGAGGTAACCCTCCCCACCCCACCCCAAAAAAACAATACACAAGGAAGTGACAAAACCAAGACATATGGCAGAGACTCCAACATGCACAAACTATATACTGGGCACCCAAAGAGATCCATCTAGAGCCAGTCCCTTATGGGAAACATGGAGGATGGATGGAATGACTGGAAGTTGTTAGAGAAAGAGGTAGCCTAGCTTAAGATCGCTTCGATAAGGATATGACGGGGGGGAGACAGAGAGGGTGAGCAGAGAGAGAATTTCTAGAGTGCAAAAGATTTTCACATTAAGAATGACATAAACAAGACAGACTACATGAAAGCCAAACACAGGCTGCTCTGGGCTCGGCATGGACCGGCTGAAGCCCGTCCACACAACTGATCCTTAATCAACCTGTCTAACTTGACCTGAAGGCAATGAAATGGCATGGAAACACACCTGATGCTCGCCACTATTACAGTGATACAAAATACCTCCAGCGAACACTGACTCCAGTGATAGTCATAAATAATCATACATTAAAATATTTATCACTCAAATTACATGAGAAAACCACAGGAATGAAATACAGTAAAATGCAGAAAGATGATTGCAACCATTTTTAAGAAAAAGGGTGAGTCTCCCTCCTGTGGTGGGCTCCTTTCCCCCTGCCCCAAAGAGTCTCTGCTGTGGTGACCTTGACTGGAGGGTGCACTTACCCTAGCAGTGCTAGCATTAGAGCTGGGGAGGGGGAAGGCCCCGGAGCTAGGATCAGTAGGGTTTGCTGTCATTCTTGGAACGCTTCAGCTGAACCTTCAGCCTCTTCATTCCAATCTGGAAACCGTTCATGGCCTGGATGGCAGCTTGCGCAGACACAGGATTGTCATAGCTGACAAACCCTGTCAATAAAAAGGTGGAGGACATGTTTATCTTGAATCAACCCCATTCACATAACAAAATGCATTCCACACAACTACTTTCAGTCACCTTAAATTACAGCTCTTAATGATAGTTTTATGCAACCCCAGTTTTATGGATTCAGGACAACCACCAGAGACAACGTAATGGTAGCACCTGACATTCAACCAACCATGTCTGGTGGTCAGATATGGGACAAAAATATTCCTTTACAGTGACTGTGCATTACCCCACAGTGAAAACTGACAAGTTTTTTTTTGTCTAGAGGAGAGAATTGTTGGATTTTCACTAGAAAATAAAAAAAACTGTATATACTTAAAACTATATAACTATACTGTTGAATCCATTGTTGGTTACAGTAAAGATACCAAAATAATAATCCATTAAAATGTCTGCTATATGTTGTCAAATATTTGAGTCTTTTCAGAACACCTGAGCAGTATTAACTGAATGGCATGCTTTAAAGCACTAAAGCTTCAGCACTAAGCCAATTAATGTTGCATAACAGACTTGCTTGTGCAGCACCGTTCAACAGGGCAATGCCTCAAGCTGAGCATGTTAATGAGGACAAAGGACCTGAACTGGATTGAAAACAACTTGCTATTTTTAAGCCCACTCTGTTAATGTCTTTTTGTCATTTCTATTTCAGACCGTTTCTGTACAGTCTGACACTAGAAAGCCATTTTTAGACTGCTATAGGAAAAGTTCTCTGTGCTCACCTTTAATCTCAGTTTGTGATATGGACATATAAACACTAGTTTAGAAGTCAGTTTTGGTTCAATATGCAGATTACATATTGTGGAAACCTATGGAGGGGATCCAGTAAAAATCCTGAAGTGGTACCAACATGGCAACCCAAAATTTTATAGATGAAACACCAGGTTGGTGAAGTAAATCAACTGTAGTAAAGAGGCATTCAGAGACCAGCAGCACCACCACACTTACCGAAGCACTTGCTCAGATTGGTCTGTTTGTCAATGAAGACTTTGGCAGAGACCACATTTCCAAAAGGCATGAACATCTGCAGAAGATCCTGGTCCCCAAACTCCTGGGGCAAGTGGTAAATGAACAGGTTGGCACCCTCTGGCCCTACTCCATTTGGTAAGAAAATCAGAAACTCAAGTTAGACATAAATTTAGATACAGGTTCATTAAATGCTATGAAAACAGACAAACCAAGTGAGAATGACACATGAGCATGCTGAGGATCTGTTCACCTTCCTTCTGGCTGCCAGCAACGCTCTGCTGGAGTAGAGACTGGCTGTAGAGGGAGGGCAGGGCAGAGGCTGTGTACTGCTGCATCCCTGAGTAGGCCTGGGTCAGCGTGTCCATGGAGCTGGCTGCTGACCCATTGGCCATGGAGGCTCCCAGTCCTCCATTTAAGGACCCCATACCTAAAAAGCAACCAAACTGATTTATATACAATGTATATGTACAACTCATTTTATATACTCATAGCTTGCTTTGTGCCACGCTTTCCCGTTGGTATTCTAACAAAAAGGCCCTCTTGCACAAATGTGGCCAACAAAGAGCCTTGCCAGATGACACTATACTGACATTGAGCAAAGGTAATTTTTTTTTTTTGCCAGATGACCCTGCAGTTTTTCCCTGTTGCGTCTTTTTTAATGTTTTGTCTGTCTGAACATAACCTTAGCAAATGGCTGCCCTCTAACACATTCAGCAAACACAAAAGGGGAGAAAAAATAAAAAATAAGTCACTTAACACAAAATGACATTTTTCTAGCTAGTAGAAAGCTTATTCTCACCACTGACGCTGCTGGTGAGTGCGTTAAGGTTGTTGAGGCCCATAGAGATCCCACTGAGACCCTGCAGGGTGCCCAGAGATGCCAAGGTGTTCATGGCAGCACCGGCACTAGACCCTGCTGAGCTGGCTGCTGAGAAAGACAGTAAAAAGGACATACGGGTTATCACAGAGGTACACTTGCTCATGTTCAAAACAACTCATATCACTTTAAATGTCTGGCATCTTTGCCACAAACAGTTTTGGTTATTAGAGGATGACACAGCAGAGGGGGCAGTTCTTAATGAGAAGTGGTCATTATCACAGCAGCAATATGCCAAACTCAGACAGATGGAGATGGACAGATGTATATTTACACAGATTAAAGGGAAATGGGAACTTTCATAAAATTTTATATGTGGGTGATTAACTCCCATAAAATAAATGAGAAATGGCTGAGGGTCGTTAGGCAAATAGCAGAAGAGGTTTGCAGAGCAGTTGGTCGGTAACATCAGAGCAGCAGGAGGGCTGACTTCTACATCTCACACTGGGTGAGGAATTTTTATTTAAACATATTTAAAATGTTAAGATAAACTAAAACAGCCATGGATTAATTCAGCAATAAAGACCAAACAAGGTCAAAAGCTCAGCAAGTAAACATCCATAGACAATCCAACTGAGCTAAAACAACCATGATCATCAACACTGTTAAAAGGGTTTGACTCATACTGGGCGTTTAATACAGAATGCATGCACATAGAAGAAATTCAGCTCATGTTACTGTTTAATTACCTGGACTGGCCAGAGCTCCCAGCGCTCCACTGTTTGTGGACAGGGTGCTGGTGGTAGTCGGGCTGCCAGAACTTTGGGCTGCAGCCGCAGCAGCAGCTAGTGTGGCCAAGTTCTGCAGCTGAAGGGGATTTACTCCTGCTGAGAGAGCGAAGAGACAGGTGGTTAATAAAGACTTGCACATTTATGTTCATGTTCTTGGAGAGAAACACTTCTATAAAAAGTCTAGAAGGGAAGCAATCTAATGTATGCTAGTTATCTTCTAGTTGGACTAGTTTCTAGCACTGCTGCCCTTCATTCACTCTTCTTGGTCAAGGTGCCATCTGATGCATTCTCAGAAAGGCTCCTTTCATCATCTTTGTCTGTAGTATTGTTTTACCAATCTTGTTTAATTACATCTGTCACTTTTTTTTTTTTAAGTACAATAATTAACTGTAGTTTTACACAGCTTTGAGGGTTGTATTAGAGTGCTTTATTAATCTCAAAAGGAAAATGCAATATTAGGTTCAGTATCAAGACTTGAAAGTGTATTTCATCATAAAAAACAGCCAGGGTAGTTATAAAGCACAATGTGTGCTTGTTCCTGCTTTAAACATTATTTCTCAGATTTATTTCTTTTTACTTTGACCATGTTCACAGTGATGTGCCATTCATTTCTCTTTAAGAGGCCTGCACAGGCCTAGAATAGCAGCACCGACTACTAATGTGTCACAAAGAGAAAAGTGATTTACTTAAAACCTTGTAGGCGTATAGCACTGAGTCACAAGGTCAGCGACATAATCGCTGCCTTGTTCATTTACAAGAGATGGCTTAAGAACCATGGTCTCAACATCTGAAAGGATTCAACTCACCTCCTAACCTCTGTAAACTACTGAAACTGCCTTGGTTACTGGTAGACGTGGCCTGCTGGAGCAACTGTTGCGGGCAAAGAAAAAAACTGGATTCAAGAATCAAACAGTGGATACAAATTTGCATTGGTCACTGAAAATGTGTTGATGGCATCACTTTTTTCCCCCCACACCATGTTGTAGATTTAATTTTAAATAGATAAAAATGACACTGTTGCCCATCAATCCTCTCTCTCACTCACAAGGACAGTTTATTTATTACACACTATGTATTGCTATACAACGTTCGGTATTATTCTTGTACTTGCAGTAATTCAACATACAGCTAAATTATTACATTTTTCAGAAGCTAAACATGACATAATATATGAATGACTGTGCATATCAGCAGGATTGGGTGTTTAAGTGATACTTACAGCTAGGTACTGCGGTGTGAGGGTGCTCAGGCCAGCCAGGTTTCCCCAGGTAGAGGCGCTGTTGAGCTGCTGAATCTGCTGTACTAACTGCTGCTGCAGGCGCCGCTGCTCCTTATCTCTCTGTGTGTCAGCAAACTTCACCACCAACGGTGAGGAACAGCCCTGAAGCAGCAAGAGGTGTTAGACCAGTTCAGAAGCACACAAAAGGTTCCACATTTTATTTACCAATATACAACCACTGCAAGGAAATTTTCAAATGAGAGGCATTATCTATGCCTCAGGACAGTTTCATGACCGTTGCATAAAAGCTAACAAAACAAGATGACAGCTGCCATGCATAGCTGAGCCAGGCAACATTACAAAAAGGGGCACACGACATTGCTGCAGACAGTGAATCTTTTGCACGCTGAACTGAGTTCACAGACAAGCAGGTAACAGATGGAGACAACACTTAAAAAAACAAATTCAAACAAGGATATGTCAGCAGACTAACAAAAAAAATGCAATACAATACACACAATCACACAAACTGACAAGGCATGCGGTGTTTAAGTATTTTGAGAGTTGATAGCCAGACAGGGACCAGGCTGGACAGGGAAAATGGCTTCTGCACCAGGAGCACCTCCTGTAGTAGCTGAGAACTGGGGAGGTCATGATATAGGGGGAAATGGGTAGCACCACCACTGGGGCCTATGTTTAATCTGGCAGGAGGAGTGTTATGTTTGGCTGGGCCCCTAATTAGACTTGGTCTGATGCTTCACTGGGGAGCCTCTGACCTGCTAGCTGTCACATTACTGCTGCTCCACTTCCACAAAGACTCCATTGGCTAACACAAGGATATGGACCCAGTTTTGGAAGAAATGTAATAGGGTTGCAGCTCCAATCTCTGCTAATTCCTTGTTAACCTATATACGATGGTGTGAGCTCTTTTCCCTGTGGTCCAAAATATAGATCAATTATGATGGCTGGGCTCTAAAATATGACCAGAATCAATAAGAGATCCATTTGGTCCAGCCCAAAATTAGAGACGACAGCAATTCTCTTCACATCTTGTTAGCTCTGGATGCAGCAGCTATGCGAGAGGCAATGTTTCAAGATTTATTCAATTATTTTTCAGACAACAACGTAATTTTATAATTAGCAAGAGTGGTTTTGGAAATGACTCATGCTCTGTGATGAATGGAGGCCATCTGCTTGGACAGGTTCTTTTCAACACAAGGGGGCAGCAGAATGTATGAAGGGAAAAGGGGAAAAATGAGAAATAGGTGCTAAGGGGTACAGTACCTCCATAGTCTGAGAGTGATGCATGGTTTTGATTGCATTCTGTGCCATTGCCCTGGTAGCAAATGTGACAAACGCACAGCCTGTAAGGGGGGGACAATAGGAGAGGGGGTAGGGACAAGAAGAAACAAAACAAGACAAAAAGGTTTGGACAACTCGTTATGAACACCCCAAAAACAAACAAACAAACAAAAAAAAAAACATTACAGTACAGAAAATGGCAACTCCCAAGCACACAGAACCACCCTCACTGTTAGCACATGGAGAAAGAACACAACAAGGAGAACAGTAACACGTGTCATGAGCACAATGATCAACGGATTAAACTGACACCCGAAGAGGCTCGACTATGTGATGTCATGGTTAAACACTTGATGTGATTACACAAATATACACTGAAAGGCTTTGATTTGCTGACATATGTTAGGAGTGATTCAGTTCATTTCAAATTGTGGTTATACTGTGTACATTTTCTAGAAAAAGACATTCATGTGTAGTGAACTATTTCTACTGAGGATTAATCACATACATCAACATGAGAGCCCCGTGCCGCCTGCTTTCTGCAACAGAGAGCTATGTTGGAGATGCCACGACAGGCTAATTCCAGCCTTTGTAGAGTGTGATGAAGGAGGTGGAAAGGGAGGAGCTAAGCCGCTTGCCAGCTGAGCCCATGAACACCGGCAGCCAGTGGTTGCCAAGGCGACAGGCCATTGTGCTGGACAGCAAGTGCAGTGGGCCTTCACTGTGAAATGTGGAGGCTGAGTGTCACAGTGACAGGAGAATTGACTATGGAATGGGTGCCAGTGAGGGCGAATAGCACTTGATTTGAAGGTGGAGATAAAGAAAGAGGGAGGGGCCTTTATAAATACTTGATGAATATATACACTCAGCTACGCTGAAGGTGGCAGCAGCGAGGCCAAGAACATTGCCTGTACTGAAAGCACACCCACCTCTGCTCTGACCATCTGGACCCCGGAGGATTCGGCACTCTTCGATCTGACCGAAAGATGAGAACATCATTCTGACCTCATTCTCGCCGTATTTTTTTGAAACCATTCCAATGAAGAGTTTTCTGTCTTCTACCGCTGCATAAGGATGAAAAAGCTCATAAGTAAAACCAAACAGTTATGGAGTTATGAAAGCGGAAAATACATCAGACGCTAAATCTTGCACCTCTCTCTCATTCAAGCTTCTTGTAATGCTGCCACATTTTCTGCCTCTCAAGGTGCCAGCCTCTTGTACATATAATTGCAACGTGCAACTTTCCTCACTGTTACCCCCTTTCAACAGATGACTCCTTCTTTTGTGCTCTCTGTTCCTGGTCTATTCTTCTCTCCTCAGTGCCTTTTGAAGCCCTTAATCCACCCAGTCCTGATACAGAAATTGTGCATTGGTGCACACTCCCCGAGCCAAGTTCTCAGGCCTTCATATTTTGGCATTACACAGAAGCCCAATCCAGCCCCTGCCTCTTTATTTAAAAACTCACACACCATTTGTCTTGGCTAAATTTTCCTGAGACACCTCTGTATGCTCCTATCCTTTGGCTGGTGTCACCATGAAAATGAACTGACTTACCACTTGTTTTCTCACTGTCAGCGGGTTTCATCTGGATAGGATGATGCATCTGTGGAGAGGGAAGGATAGAGAAATGGTTAACACTACACTTGTCACCATCAACTAGGCAGATTTTTGGCCTCATCACAAAGGTCTCATTGCTTCACTATAGTTCTCCCTACCCCGCCTTCAAGCATTAATCTACCTCGTTTTGTTCTCACCATCACTTCTCACCACTGCCAGGTTCAATAGGCAGGAGTTGATGGTGGTGATCAAATTCTCCAGTATCCAATTTCTCTTCTCGGTACAACATGTGATATGATTGAACTTATTGATTCTTCCTGTTGACATTCCTTGTCCTCCTTAGAACTGGTTTACAAGCAAACCAATTCTGTATCACATTCAAATGTACAGTGAGTTTTAGAAATTAATATACTAGATCTTAGATCGTATTACATGCAAACAAGGTGTGGCAAATCTGAGCAGTGAAAAATCTCAGCTTAAGACAGACATTTCTGACCATGTCCCTGTTTCACAAGCTGTGGTCATTATGTGAAAACGTGGAAGCAGAACGTGTGTTAGTAAATACTCAAAATGAAAGTTGCTAAGTGAATATACTTTTAGTATATTTGCCAACCATGAAATTGAAAGAAGAAACCGATCTAGCCATGAGGTGATTGAGCAGGCTGTACTTATGATAGGTGGTGGGTTCGTTTTTGACAAGCACTAAAGAGAAGCAGACAGATGGCCTGCTCAGTATGGGCACTGGTACTGGCTAGCGTCACTGACCAAGGAGAGCGAGGCACGGGGGGGGGACAAAAACAAAACAACAACAAAAAAAAACCAGGAACAGGGAAACAAGCTTTTCCTGTCACATAATCCAACCCAGCCACCTGCAGTCAATGCCAACAACAGTACGACTGAGAATTGGGATTCGAGCGCTGAGGTGTTACTCCACACTTTATTTGAAACGTCTGGCTGATTGATAGTTCTCTGGTGGAGAGAGTCAGGCCTGTATACTCAGCCTCCTACACTCATTTATCAGCCTGGTTCAATATTTACCTGTAACCTCACTGGCAGTGGCTCCTTTTTCAGTAGACTGTGCTATTGATTTAATTGACAGCTCGAGTTGTTTGGTAAAGATGCAATTGATTGCAAGAAGAGTAATTCAAAACGGTGCATAGACAAGGCAGATTTGTAGAGGTTTAACAAGCACTTATTCCAGTTGACTGAGCTTTAATCTCTATAGATAAATCAGGCGAGGAATTAAAAGGCCGCACACACTCTCAAGTCTTCATTGTTATAAAAAAAAACCTCAACTTGCCTCTTTTATACCTCTAACTGTGGGGAAATAAAAATGTAGATGTGCATCAATGATTCATGAAAATAAGCATTAATAATATGTTCCACTTTGTGGCAACCAGGTCCTGTGTCTCGGTGAACAACCTTCTGCCCAGTCAAGCACACTTTACCTGAAACTCGTGTGCGTGTGTTAGATTAGCTTATCAGTTCACTGTGTTGAGGTTCAGGGCAGTCCTCGGTGTGATGTTAGTGCATAGTGGGGGCTGAAATATTTCTCAGACCAGACAGGCATTCAGTGAGGCATGAGCTCATTATCAGCCAGCGCACAGCTCAGAGCCTGCACCAGAGATGTACAGGGGCTCAAGCAGCTAATAGTAGCCCATACCGTGGTTACTCACCCCACTTAAGGTCTTTATGTTGTGCAGTGCATTCTGGGCTTCCAGTGCAGCTTTTCTCGTATAAAAAGTTACAAAACAGCATCCTACAAAAAGAAGAGAAACAGTGACAATGGGTGTGGGAAAGAGACAAAACCAGCATTGAAACACAGCTTAAACAGACAGCAAGTGTATTAACATGACTGCTGTAGAGCATAATGCAACTAAACAGATCAAAATGTTTTCCACATATCACCAACTCTTAGACGGTGCACACAGCTCATGCAGGAGCTTGGAGCAAGGACATCAGAGTAATGACAGTTGAAGGCTGTGCAACATGGCCATAGAGATGACCACAGGGTTAGACAGCTGTCATGAGGCACTGATGCACAGTCAACACAGTCTGGGCAAGCCAGGACACAACATCAATCCATCACCAACACATCAGTGAGTGGTGCCATATTACATAGGAATCTAGTCACATATAACATATATAGAGGAGGCATGAAAACAGTACAAAGAGACAAGAAGGAGCAAAAGGAATGGTGAGGGAGGAGGATGAAAAAAAAAAAAGGAGCGGGAAAGAAAAAGTGCCTCTCATCCTTCCGTCCCAGCAGACCGCCAGTGGCGTTCCAGCCTGTCAGTTTCACTGGGCTGAAGAAGTGGAGCACTGCAGCGCCTCTGACCTACATAGTGTGTATTATGCCGTTACTGGAGCTCTCAGGCTGCGGGGAGGGCTGTTGAACTCTAATATGCATCGAGCTGCTCTCTTCTCTCACAACCAGCTGAGCTCTCACTCTCAATGCTGCTTAGGCCTGCCTCCGATTTACTGGAGCTAAATAAACCATTCAGAGACTAGTGATAGTTATCAGTTTTCATGACTTGCAGTAGATGTGACCTAAAAAAAAGCCACAAATCTGATTGTTTCTCAATAAATGCATTGTAAACAACCAAAAGGGAAGTGGGATTACAACAAATTCAAAGAACAATAAGGCCATCCTGAAAGGCATTTATTCGGGCTTTGGTACTAATAATCAACAGACCGGGGGGTTTAGCTTTCAGTTCCCTGTTGAGATCAAACTGCAATACATTTATTACAGTATAGCCCTTTCAGACATTACATACATAACATTGCTGCTTCATCAGTTTGGTCCTTAGAGCTCCATTCATACTTACCCACGGCAATGAACAGGGGCCGCCTACAAAGTGCAACACTGAGCGCGCCTATTACAAAACCATTCACTCTTAGGGTCGTGACACACCAACTCGATGGTCACCCATCGGTGAGCTTCTGTTGGGACTCATCTTCCCAGTGCAATGTTGGCACTAGTCAGACCCTATCGGTAGCTTTTCAGTCGATTTGGCATGTTGAATTGTGCAGTCTGTTTTTCACCTCTGCATCCTCCTTTCTTCTTCTGCAACCAAAATACCAAGGGCAGAGGCCATTGCCATTTGCAACTTCTTAAGAGATATTCTTGATTAGAAGCAGCTATAAACAGCAGTGGTGAACAAAAATGGCTTTGTTTATGCTTGTATTTCTGCTGTCTAACTCTTCTTCTTTCCCTTTATGGGAAAATATGGCCAATGCAGATACCATCATCTGCTGGTAGGAGGAATTATTTCTCTCATGCAGGCACAGACCACACGTGCTGGTCAACCAGTGGCTATAGTCTGTGTGGTGTGTTCAAGTGACACATCGGCACTTTAGCCTTTCCGGTTGCTAGTTCTTTCACATCTTGTCTATTAGAGTAATGCGTAGACTTATTTGGAGATTTGCTCCAGTATTTTCAAATGTTTATCATGTCCCTGGTAGGCTAGTGGTTAAGGCGCAGTGCTCATGCCGCTGTGCCCCGGGTTCGAATTAGGGTTGCGTCAGGAAGGGCATCCGGCGTAAAACACGTGCCAAATGTCAACATGCGAGTCGTCAATGTGACGATTTGCTGTGGCGACCCCTAAACGGGAAAAGCCGAAAGTGACTATTTTCAAATGTTTATCAGTTATCATCGGACTCAGACTGCACTGAAAATTTCCTGCCATCTCAAATACTGCAATTGAAAACCGATTACCTGCCCAACATATCAATAGTCAAATAACTGGATCCAGTTCCAAAGAACAGCTCAAATAAAAGCAATATTGATTACATAAGAAGCAGGTGAAAGACATTATCTGAAAAGCCAATAAATAGAAGATGGCATTGGAGTCTGATACTGCCCCCCAGCTCTCCCAAACTAGCAGACCTGGGAAAAGAAGATGGTAATGAAACTGATGGGTGTGGGGGATGCTGCTGCAACAAACTCACCTCACATAGGCTGAGTTAAGTCGGTTTAACACTGAAATCCCGCACTACTGCTGTTCTAAAGAGTTGCCAATATCCTGCCCTTGTGCTATTCATGCACATCAAGCTAAGGGCAGCATAGCCAGTAGTCTACAAGCCAAAACAACAATGATGGGAGAGTTAAGTGCAGCTGTCGCTCTGTTGGCTCTTCAAGCATTTATTTCGCTTCACACAAAATTGGTTAGCGTTTCTGTGTGCGCAAATGTCTTGAGCAATAACTGTAATCAACGCGTTTGTGACATCAGGAATCAAAACATGGCACTTGGTTCTGACTGCCTGCTCACCCTTTCTATACAGAGCACGTCTCCCCTTTGTTTCGCCTCTGGTACTACCTCCCAAGGCGGACCAAAGGTGCAACGAAAATGGCCGGCCATTCCAGCTTTGCGCCCTACACACAGAAAAAGAGACGGAATAAAGGCACACCAATCCCGCCTTGAAAAGGCAGTATGTAAGGGGCTTTAGATAAAGACCACCGTGATCAGGCCAGATAACCTATTAGAATACATTAACATGTCAATAGGGCATCACAGCTGACACTCCACACAGAAAATGAGGGCTTTGAACTCTTCAGCCTCCCAATGAACTGCACAGTGTTGGTTGTACATTTATAAACACACAGCATAATAAGCATCCTGAAGATTGAACACACTCAGGATTATTTGGTAATGTTTGATGTGTATGCTTTTGTTAAAAAGCCTGACCATGTGAATTCAAATGCTGTCATGGTGACAAAGGGGGTTGCTGTTAGGGTCCTCACACACTGAAGGCTCTTTCTGACCAGTCACAGTGAAGACAACACCAAGGAACTAGATCAAGATAAATAAGGAACTCAAAGCTGATGTCTGCACAGTCATGTTCAAATTTCTCCCAAGGTCTGAATACATTTGAAGGAGAAAAAAAAAAAAAAAAAAAAGGTTAAAATGCAACAGCTTAACAGACAGCGTAAATCACATTTTTCATTGTAAACGAATCTACTGCTATTCTGACTGATGTTTATATGGGTATGAGAAAATCTGACCAAACAAGAATGATAAAAAGGTCAAAAAAGCACCGTCAGCCTTTGCTCTGCTTGTGAAGAAAAAAAAAAAAGATAAAAAAAAAAAAAAAAAAAAAACAATTCAACTAGATGAACAGTCAGGCAACACACACTCTCAAACTGCCTCCATCAACAATTTTACAGATTCATTCAGCTTAACAGAGACAGAGAAGCAGAACAGTGCCAATGGTTCTGAGCACCCCTCAAAAACTACAAGTGATAGCAGTGAACTACACGCCACAGAGCTTTAATGACAGCTAGACGCAAGGGTCGTGAAAACACTAGAAGGCAAAATAGTAGGGCTGTCCCAGATGGGGCAGCACGGTAGCGCAGTGGTTAGCACCGTTGCCTCACAGCGAGAAGGTTCCAGGTTTGGGCCCCACCCGGAGTTTGCATGTTCTCCCCGTGTTTGCATGGGTTCTCTCCGGGTACTCCGGCTTCCTCCCACAGTCCAAAGACATGCAGCTTAGGTTGACTGGTGTCTCTAAATTGCCCATAGGTGTGTGTGTGTGTGTGTGTGTTCGTCTATGTGTTAGCCCTGCGATGGATTGGCGACCTGTCCAGGGTGTACCCCGCCTTCGCCCGATTGCCGGCCCGGATTGGCTCCCCCCCATGACCCCGTTCAGGGACTAAGCGGTAGAAAATGAATGAATGTCCCAGATGGCAATTTTTGGGCTTTGGGCAAGAGGGGCCACCCAAATGGAGACTACATTGAAATTTCCTCCTGCCTCAAATATTTAAATACCAAGACTGAAAACTGATTACCTACCCTACAAATAACTATCCAAACAGTCAACTATTTGGGTCCAGCCCTAATTGACTGGATGATTTATTGGAGAGCTGCTCTGACATTTTCAGACATGTGACTACCAACTAGCAGGCCAAGCTATCAAGCTGTCTCCATCATAGTTTCTTTGCTCTTCATTGCTGGACTCAAAACTGGATTGAAAATTCCTGCCATCTCAAATATTTGATTGCTTAAATTAAAAACAGATTACATAACAAAGGAATATCTAAATAGTCAAATAATTGGGTATAGCCCTACAAAGCAGGTTCCATTTAAATGCAGAGGCCAGCATCAAATATGGTCCAACCACAGCGAAATCCAAGAGGGAGTAGTGCCATTTGCCAAGGTGAGACATCCAGCCAGCAAGGGGATTAAAATTTGGGTGAGGTCATAAACTCAATATAGTTACATTAGGGAAACTTTCACCTGCAGTTAGTTACAGGAGGCTGAGGACCTTCCACTGGCACTTTTCTGCTCTCTGAGACAGCAGGCTTCTACTTCAGTCTCCTCTAATTGCAACCTAAACTGAATCACTCAACTTGAGCACCATCTCTAAAGGTGAGTGCATCGATGGACATCTTAATGGGAAAACTGCAGTGGAGTAACACTTCCTTCATACAATGCTGCCTTTAAAAACAGCAAGGCCAAGTAAAATGAAAAAAAAAAAAAAAAAAAAATTCTATAATACAGGGTTATGTAAAAAGGTGTTTTTGTTTAACCCCAAAACAAACAAAAAAGTCTATTGAATCATTACTCTGTAAGACACCATAAAAACATACATCTTTTTACCATATAATATGAAATGGTAAGAGGCAAGCAAGTGCAGTAAATAATGAATCAATTGTAATCAGATTTCATATTAATCAGCTAATCTACCATACATTTTAAAGTTGAGTATTCAACAACCCAAGCGGTATGGTAAGGCTAACAAATCACAAACTATTTCTTACTCTGATTGTACCTTTGCTTTGAGGGGGATTTTGGGTGCGATCACGAAGGATGTTGATCTGGTGTACAGCTCCAAATGGCTCAAAAAGCTCTTTTAGTTCCGTTTCTGACCAGGAGCGTGGGATTTGTCCAACAAACATCTTGATGGAGTCTGGATCAGGCTGGTCTAAATGCTCCAGTGACCCATTCATCTTGCTGCCGCTGCCGTTGCTAAGGAGGGAAGGAAGAAAGATAGATTTCTGTAATTAGTATACAAGACTCTGCAAAATTAATATCTTAAGTTCAAACCTGAGGCTCTGCATTAAGGTCAATGGAGAAAGATCAAAATTTATCAATAAAGCCCCTTTCAGACATGCACTCCTTTCCACTAACCTGATGGCATCTGAACCAGTTGGCTTCGTGTCTGAATAAGCACCCTGGTCACTTTTCCCTGAACTGCAACAGCAATCTTACTGAATTGGACCAAGTAACTTAACGCAAGTCCCCCGTGTTCCACGGCAGTGGAAAGCACATTTGCCAAGTTTTTAGCGGGAGAACGGGTATTGAGCCACCAATCTTCCGGTTAGGGGACAATTGCTCTACCCCCAGAGCTACCGCGGGCCCAATGCTTAACTAACATATTCTTTACAATAATGGATGATTTAATTCAACAACATACTGATCAATATGAGTGGTTGGGGATAATAGAGCAATGATGGAGAGGAGTGAAATACCAAACTGTGCCATTTTCCTTTAAGGCAAGCCTTAGATATAGAGAATCAATACCCACCAATGTACCCATGACTACAGCACCTTTGTCTCACACACAAACATTCCCTGACAGGGGTAGAGGCACCGGAAACCAATACACAGGCTGCAGCAACACCCATCTACAGGTGCTGCAACAGAGAAATCATGCTAAGTGTAAAGCTTACTCACACCCACTACACACTTGTAGTACAGAAACCAAGAAGGGCTAACAATCAACAGTATAACAACATGGAGACTGTTATACAGTCTCAAAACAACATTGTATAAGTGAGACTGACAGAGAAGAATTAGACTAATGCAGACATGTAAAAATTTTACACACAGACCTTTGGACGCGAGCCATCCATCTCTTACAAATTGAGCCAAGCCGTTCTGCAGAAACACCAAACTCCTTAAGGGACTTAAATGACATGCTAACAAATCACACTTCAGTTGTTATTCCTCTGAAATCCAACTCTATGCCTCACTATGAAGTGTATTTTTCCTGGAGACTGTCAATACATTTGAGTGACGACATAAATAGAAAAAAAGCTCATTTGAAACAAAAGCCTCTCTCCACCGAAAAGGCTTGCATGCCCCACTCCTACCAGCTCTGACAGCTGCACAACAGCACTGCAGAGCTCTAAACCGACAAGAATTGCTGGTTAGCAAACAGATAAAAATTTTGCAGTACACCTCCTCCTCAGGCGCTTTGGCGATGGTACAGAGAGTAACCTACAGCTTCTTCAGCACAGCAGGGAAACAATCACATATTGTTCCCCCATGCTGGAGAACACTATTCACCGTTCCTCTACAGCACAATGGACCAAGTCAGAGAGATGCTTTAGAATATGTTGAAGGCTACATCTGCTAAGGCCACAGCACTTGTGTGTGACACAATTTATCCAGTATTACCAGTGGCACTCCCGACACCATTTTGCTGAGTGCCCTTTAATGAAATCTCACTGTAAAAACAACCCTTTTTAGTTTAAAAGCTAATTGGTGTCACAGGTATTTAAAAACAAAGGCTCAAAATTCAGCTCAATTTACACCAATAAGGCAAAGACACACCAAGGCAAAGGTCTGCCATGAGTCAGGGCTTGTCCTCCCAGTGCGTCCCGCACCATTGGCAGTAGTCTGCCTCCATCGGCAGCTTTGACTGATCCGACCAATTGATTTCGGCATTGGCCAGTTGGGCGTCAGTGAGAAAGAGACCACTGACTAGCTGTTTTGCTTTGCAAACCAATGCAAATAAAGAAAATGGTTTGGGAAAAGCCCCTTTAGTCTGTCACTGTAGTATCCATGATTTCAGACATTTAGTGTGGTTTCTCCTTGTTACCTCTGCAGCCTCATTTCTTCTTCCACAACCAAAAGACCAAGGGCAGTGAACACCAGTGCCATGTACAACGTCTTAGACATTCTCAACTAGAAATGGCTATAAACAGCCACTGTGCTGAATGATAGGCGCTTTGTTTATAAGCTTATACTTCCCCAGTCTAGCTCTTCTTTGTCATTCTGAATGGTGAATACAGATACTGCCACCTGCTGGTAGGGGGAGTTATTTCTGTCACAAAGGTGCAAAACATATGTGCTAGTCAGCCATTGGCTGCAGTCTGTGTAGTGTGCTTAAGCGTCACTTTTTCCAACACGACTGGCCCAGGCAAAGCAGTAATCGGCCTTCGTTGCTGCTAGTTCTTTCACGTCATCTTGGTGTGTTAAACTCCCAATCCCCTTGCAGCTGTGCAGTGGGACTGTTAATGGGCAATGCAACTCCAAGCATGCCTTCTTTAGCCTTACTACCCACGACAAACGACAGTTGTTTACATGACATTTATATTGCTCAAACTTCAGCTGCTGAAGTAATTGATTCAGACCGTCTACTTCCAAGTGTTGTTACATCATGGAACTATATTAAGAGTGAATGAAAGCATAAACATTAGGCACTGTCACACTAAGAGCTTTACTGACACTCTGAAAATGGAGGAAAGAAAACAGTAGTAACAAACTATTTAAGCTTTAGGAGTGTTTTCATGTACAGAGGACCTATGCTGCTGCTCTAGCCTTGCCAAGAGTTAAATGAGAAGATCGATAACACTCACCAGTATATGAAGCATCCACACGCAGCCAGTTAGCTTAGCAAAGACTATAAAAATGGAAATCACTAGCCTGACTCTTTCCAAAGGTTACAAAATCCATCTCTCAGCACATTTAAAGCTCAGGGGGTTAATGGCTGGTCAAGAAGTAGTCCAACTTCTCATCCAACATATGAAACTAAATAAGTGTCTTCCCCAAAATGTTAAGCCATTCCTTTAAAGCTTGTAATTACCTATGGTTATCAGGTCTGTACCTAACTAAGAATTTTGTACGTCGACTTCTCATTTTTAAGTTTAGATATACAGTATATCACAGAAGTGAGTACACCCCCTCACATTTTGTAAATATTTAAGTATATCCTTTCATGTGAAAACACTGAAAAAATGACACTTGGCTACAATGTAAAGTAGTGAGTCTACAGCTTGTATAACAGTGCTGGCAACAAAAGTGAGTACACCCCTAAGTGATAATGGCCAAATGGGGCCCAAGTAGCCATTTTCCCTCACTGGTGTCATGTGACTCGTTAGTGGTACAAGGTCTCAGGTGTGAAGGGGGAGCAGGTATGTTAAATTTGGTGTTATCACTCTCACTCTCTCATACTAATCACTGGAAGTTCAACATGGCACCTCATGGCAATGAACTCTGAGGATCTGAAAAAACAAATTGTTGCTCTGCATAACGATGGCCTAGGCTATAAGAAGACTGCCAAGACCCTGTATCTGAGCTGCAGCACAGTGGCCAGGAGCATACAGCGGTTTAACAGGACAGGTTCCACTCAGAACAGGCCTCGCCGTAGTCGATCAAGGAAGTTGTGTGCCCGTGCTCAGCGTCATATCCAGAGGTTGGCTTTGGGAAATAGACGTATGAGTGCTGCCAGCATTGCTGCAGAGGTTGAAGGGGTGGGGGGGTCAGCCTGTCAGTGCTCAGACCATACGCCGCACGCTGCATCAAATTGGTCTGCAAGGCTGTCGTCCCAGAAGAAAGCCTCTTCTAAAGATGATGCACAAGAAAACCCGCAAATTGTTTGCTGCAGACAAGCAGACTAAGGATATGGATTTCTGGAACCATGTCCTGTGGTCCGATGAGACCAAGATAAACTTATTTGGTTCAGATGGTGTCAAGTGTGTGTGGCGGCAACCAGGTGAAGAGTACAAAGACAAGTGTGTCTTGCCTACAGTCAAGTATGGTGGTGGGAATGTCATGGTCTGGGGCTGCATGAGTGCTGCCGGCACTGGGGAGCTAAAGTTCACTGAGGGAACTATGAATGCCAACATGTACTGTGACATACTGAAGCAGAGCATGATTCCTTCCCTTTGGAGACTGGGTCGCAGGGCAGTATTCCAACACGATAACGACCCCAAACACACCTCCAAAATGACCACTGCCTTGTTAAAGAAGCTAAGGGTAAAGGTGATGGACTGGCCAAGCATGTCTCCAGACCTAAACCCTATTGAGCATCTGTGGGGCATCCTGAAACGGAAGGTGGAGGTGCGCAAGGTCTCTAACATCCACCAGCTCCGTGACGTCATCATGGAGGAGTGGAAGAGGATTCCAGTGGCAACCTGTGAAGCTCTGGTGAACTCTATGCCCAAGAGGGTTAAGGCAGTGCTGGAAAATAATGGTGGCCACACAAAATATTGACACTTTGGGCCCCATTTGGCCATTATCACTTAGGGGTGTACTCACTTTTGTTGCCAGCAGTTTAGACATTAATGGCTGTGTGTTGCGTTATTTTGAGGGGACAGCACATTTACACTGTTATACAAGCTGTAGACTCACTACTTTACATTGTAGCCAAGTGTCATTTCTTCAGTGTTGTCACATGAAAGGATATACTTAAATATTTACAAAATGTGAGGGGGTGTACTCACTTCTGTGATATACTGTAAATCTTATGGCCTAGACCACACGTGTCAAACTCAAAGCCCGTGGGCCACATCCGGCCGGCGAGATCATTTATTCATCTTTTTTTTTTAATGGCCCGGCGATATGAAGCACCGATAACACACAAACTACAAATCCCATAATGCAGCGCAACAGCTGCCTTAACGAACGATAGGCTACCTGCGACCATTCCCGCGTCAATTACCTCAGATCAATCAAGCGTCTATTGATGTATACAACCCTAATTTCAAGTCAAAGCTAGCCCCCAACAATGGCCAAGAGAAAAGTTGATTCTGAAAACAGAGCCTTTCAAAACCGGTGGGAGGCTGAGTATATGTTTACTGACATAAACCCGTGTGTCTTATTTGTGGAGCTAATGTGGCTGTAATTAAGGAATATAACCCAAGATGGCACTACGAGACAAAACATCAGGACAAGCTGAAAAACGTGAATGCAGAGCAGAAGCTACAGAAGGTAGAGGAGTTGAAGAGGAATCTGACATC